GCCTCATGAGTAGGGGCCGCGGCCAGAAGCTCTCGCTTCATGGCCTTGAGGCTCCGGCGAGAAACGTGAGCACACGCTCCCCCATCGACAGTGGCAATGGTGGCCCCAGGCTCTTGGAAACCTAGGTCATCATCGCCGTCATCGATGTCCTCGGCGGGGGCCTTCTGCTTGGCCTCACTTCGCCGATTGCCGGAAGGAACCGCCGGGGACTTGCCCTCTCGGCGCTCCTGCCTCCTCTCCTCCTCCCACTTCCTCGTCCGCTCAGCCAAACTTTTGACTGCGCGGCAGTCCGCGAGGTCGTGAAGGGAAGTGTTGTGGACGATGCACCACTTGCCGGTTGGGCGCTCCCTGCTGGGAGCGCCGGCCTCCTTCTTTTTGTTGCCCGCAGGCCTCCCCTTTCGGGTGGCCCGCGAAGCGCCCTCGACGGCGAGGACATGACCCTCGTCGTCGGTATGGGCTGACCTCTTCTTCCTCCTCCTGTCACGCCGCCCTGTCTGAGCAGCGGATCCGGGGGCGGCCGAAGCTGCCACACCGGAACCGGAGGGGTTCCAGGTCCATGCCTTCTCCTTACGAGCTACTCGGTCCGCGAGCTGAAAAAGCTCCGCGGTAGTCTGGGGCTCTTTGGAGGCGATCTTTTCGAGCATGCTGTTGTGCCGCACACCCCCCCTGAACGCGTAGATCACTGCGTGTGCAGGGATGCATGGCATGGTGTTGCGGACTTGACAGAACCGCTGAATGTATGAGCGAAGTGACTCATCATCCCTTCGCTGGACTGCATGCAGGTCCGCTTCTTCACCTGGGCGCGGATATGTGCCTTGAAAGTTCATGGTGAACTGTTGGCACAAATCCTCCCAGGAGTGGACCGACGCGGGTGGCAAGTTCATTAGCCAACCCCGCGCCTGTCCCTTCAGGGCCATGGGAAAGAAATTCGCCATGACCCTGTCATCACCCCCGGCGGCTTCGATCCCGGTCGTGTAGACCTGGAGAAACTCGGTGGGGTTGATGCTCCCATCATATTTTTCGGCGATGGTGGGCCGGAACCTTGGGGGCCAACGGACGTTCCGAAGGCTCGCCACAAAGGCTCTACAGCCGACACCACCAACCGGGGGCACGGAGGGCTGATCCCCGTGTCCGCGTTGAGGTGACACTCCGGACGAGGAGGCGCCCTCCGTTGCGTGGGGAGCACGTCGACCATTACGCCGGCGCTCGATATCGATGCGGGCATCTGGCCCCCCACGCTGATCTTCCTGGGTCGGAGGCGCTGACGAAGGAGTGGCGGCCGAATGGCGAGCAACAGCCGCCGCTCGCCGCGCCCTCCGCCTTGACGACACGGAGCCGGTGGTAGCAGCGCCAGAGGTCTTGGTGGCGGAGGACCGCCCACCAGCACCTAGGCGCTGCCGTGCTGTCATGACCAAGTTGGCCACGTCGTCCAGCCAACGTTGGGCTGGAGACTCCGGGTCAGGGACAACGGGCGGGTGACGTAGGAGCGCGCCCGCAGCTTGGAGCGTGCCCTGGGGCGTGCTGCCGTCGCCGTAGACGAGGAGGCGACGCTCCCCATCTCGCCGCCCTTCCCCATCACCCGTGGACGTCGAAGTCGCGGATCCTTCGACCCTCTCGAGCGCCTCCTCCCGCCTAGGACTTTGGCGTGGAGGGGGCGGTGGAGTACGAGCTCGACGGCGTGGGTTTGGCTCCCCGTCGTCACCGCTAACACTCGGAGAGAGGTTGTGCGCCTTTGCTCGTTCGGCCATTGGGCTGAACAGGAAAAGCTTGGCACACACGAAAGAGTGCGAGAGCTCAGAAGATCACTCGCAGAGCCCCCTACCTGGCGCGCCAGATGACGGAGCTTGGGGCTCCTCACCGGGAGACCGCGCAGGCCCCCCTTTGCCGGTTCGGCCAGGGGCCCTGGGTGAGATTCTAAGCTCCTGGTCTGTGTGTGGAAGGTTCGCGAGAATGGAAAAAGCACAAGACACGGGCGATGTATACAGGTTCGGGCCGCTGAGAAGCGTAATACCCTACTCCTGTGTTTTGGTGGATCTGTGTATGAAGAAGCTACAAAGTGCCAGCCAGCCCCTGATCGTTCTCTTCTTTTTCTTCCTAAAAATCCTCCCCCTTCTAAGTGGGCAAGGTCCTCCTTTTATATCTCAAGGGGATACCACATGCACCATCTCTCTTTTTTATGGGGACTTATCCTACCTTTTCATAATCAGACAGAGACTTGTATGGTTGCCGTCCGAATGACCTTCTGATGGGACGGCCCACACCTACCTCCACTTCCGCCGGAAGCAGGTGCGACGTGGGAACATGGCTGTCTGCTGACGACATGACCAGTGTCAGACCGGTCACAAATCGGTCATTCTTGTCCACCACGCGTCAGTTTATCAATCTGCATGTTCGCCCTTCTTCATACAATATCTTGCCAGTAATGGTTAGGATGAAGCCTGGCATATATCTGACCGGAACCAACGTGCCATCTCCAGGAGTTAACACGCCGGCTTCGGCTAGGGACGAGTGCTTGGAGGCTCTCGTCCTGACGGGATGGGGCGAGGCGTGCGTCAGACCGCCTGTCGCCACCTAACCCACGATCTGACCGGTCTGTGACTAGTCACAGACCGGATAAACGAGTGCGCTGCACTGCGTTTGATACGGCGTGATGCGCTCGTCCAAACCGCAATAAATGTGGTTAGGTGAGCCCCGCTATGCTCACCTACCCCATATACGCGGCGCAAAACCCACAAGGGGTCGGGGCGCCTCGGCCCTCGGGGCCGAGACGGGAGCGGTCCGACCCCTCGGGGAGACAAAGAGAAGGGCGGCCGTATCACCCTCGGGCCCGAGCCCCCCCCCCCCCCCCCGAGGGGGTTAGGCCACGTGGGTGATCGTGTCTGCCTCAAGTCTCTAAGTCATGATACTCCCGGTCCCATGTCACCGACAAATATAATATGATATCACCTGTCATATATATGTATTGTGTCTGGGAGTCCGTGTTGCAACTGGCTATAAATCTATAGCCCGCTTCTTTTCATTCTTCTCTTTTATCTCCTTGAGAGCAAGTTTAATAGGATAGCCAACTATTAGCTCCAATTCATCTATAGACAATCTAATAGCTTATTCATACAATAGTTATACTACACTATTAATACCTGGTCCTACTTGTCATACACACACTACGTCTTGAAGTCTGTGCTACAGCTAGCTATAAATCTGTAGTCCGCTGCTCTTCTCTTTTCTCATTTATCTTCTTAAAATATGTTTACAGCTGGCTTATAGCTTGCTATTGTTTCTGCTCTGATATGTGTTTATAGCTGGCTTATAGTCTGTACCTGCTCTTAGGAATTAGTTTTTTTCTTCTTTTGGAGAGATCTTAGGAATTAGTTGATTGCACTTTGCACATAGGCACATAATATGCCGGTGGGGCGGTGGGGGATGTTTCAGACTCTCGTGAGGAAATATTATTCTGTCAGTGAGTAATAAAAAAAAATTATTTGCAATGGAGAGACAATGGAAAGTAGGCTTGATATGTTGTTCAAGAAAAATCTGTATACAGTTGCAATTTATCTTGTACGAAGTCCGCAGGCTGTTTCTGTTTCAACCGGTGATATTCTAAGAAAGTATTGTAAACTTAGCCTTCGAAACAGGTTCGAGGTTGTAAGGTCCATTTTTTCTTTGATTAAAGATACAAAATTTATCTCTGTTTCATTAATATACTTTATAAATTGATAAAAGATACTACCTCCGTCCTATTATAAGTGCAGTTGTGGATTTTTTTTAATGGAGGAAGTAAATTTTATAAAAAAAATATATGTAGAAATTACTGTAAAATATCATATAAATCTATTTACCATGTATCTTTTTTTTTATGTCCGTATTTAATCTCCATTACTCGAACTGGGCCTAAGGAAGCAGGTTACCCGGCGTGCAGATTCACACGGTCTCCGGCTTCCTCATCGTTCTCCAGGAGCCCAAGGTGCTGGACCAGCCGCCGGCAAGTTCATTCCCGTCGACCCCCTCCCGGCCTCGTCCGTCGTCAACATTGGTCAGGCGCGTACCAACCACCGTTCTCGCGGAACTCCGACGACGGAGACGACAGGCGTACACCCCGAACCCAAAGCGGCAAACACCCCGACGGCTCGCTCCCCCCCGGTTTCCCACGTACCCCCGCAGGCCGCAGCCCGCCGAGCCGCGAGAGCTATCTCACGCCGAAACGCCCGTGCAACGTCGCGCGCGCGCGTGGTCGCGACGTACGGCCTCGTCTTCCCCCACAACCTACCGGGGGACGCCTCGAGCCACGGCGCGCGCCTGTTCCACATCCACCCGAGGGGCCCGAGTCCATGGCCGTACGAGAATTTCACGGGCGCGTATGAGAATTTCACGGGAACGGGCGTGCGCAGTGCGCTGGCTGCCACTGCCAGTGGGTGGCGCCGGCTAGTGGCTACAACTACTACTTTGGTTGGACCCCGCCCCGCACTTGAGCATACGCTGCGTCCGAGCGACCCGACCCACTCGCCCCAGGCGCCCTGTGTCCTGCAATGCTGGCCACAGAATGGATTCATGCCAATGCGCTGCGCGTATATAGGGGAGAGGAGCCACTACTAACTGAGATGGAACGCAGCATGCTGAAACCGAACGTCACGGATGACGACTTCATCAGTGTGGATTGCGTATCTGGATGTCCCCGGTTCTGCGCAGCGTTATCCTCGTCGTTGCCTCTGTCTATGTCAGAAGACAAACAATGAAACAGCGGCACACCAGGTGTGCAGGATAATTAAGATACTGAACGAGAAAAAGAAAAGTCTATACGTACTAACTTTTTCTTACTAAATTTTTACTAACACTGACATATCATGTTATGAGTGCATTTAGATTTTTTATAACTTACATCTACTTGAATCAAACGGTTGGGATGATTGTTAGTACAAATTTAGTAAGAAAAATTTAATACGTGTAGCAGTGCTCCGAGCAAAAACCTCTTATAAAAATGTTCCCTTCCATTGTCGTGGGATACCAGAAGCAAACACTGCGATCATCCGAAGCAATCTCAATCTCACCTGTCCATATCGCGCACGAATTCGTAAAGTGCAAGCTAGAAACATGTGTCACATGTCGTGCTGATCGTTCGATCCACCACGGTGCGAGCGGTGAGTGTCGTGACGAAGCAAAGGCAGAGGCAGCAGCGGGAAACGGCGCCCCCCCGTGTGTCGATCGGCTGTCTCGCCGAACAGGGCAAATACGCCAACAAAAAACGGCCTCGTTTTCCCTTGCTCGCACGCACCGTGTCGCTCCCAGGCGACAAGCCGTGGCGCGACTCGCCGCCCCCCTGCGCCCCCTCGCCCCCGCGCGTCGCTTTCACGTCGCACCTCTAAATACCACCACCCCGGACTCGGCGGCGAGCCCCCGCGCCAAGAACGAAAGGCGAGAGTGAGAGAGATGGTGGAGATCCCGGCGATCGACCTGCGGCTGGCCGGCGGCGGCGGCGGCGCGGAGGAGACGGCGAGGCTGCGCGACGCGTGCGCGCGGCTGGGCTGCTTCCGGGTGTCGGGGCACGGCGTGCCGCCGGGGCTCCAGGCCGAGATGAAGGCCGCGGTGCGCGCGCTCTTCGACCTCCCCGACGACGCCAAGCGCCGCAACGCCGACATCATCCCGGGCAGCGGCTACGTCCCGCCCGGCACAGCCAACCCGCTCTACGAGGCCTTCGGCCTCTGCGACGCCGCCGCCCCCGCCGACGTCGACGCCTTCTGCGCCCGCCTCGACGCGCCGCCCCACGTCAGGTGACCATTTACTGATCTTGCACCGCCCCCCAATCCCAATTGGAATTGCGATTTTGGTCTCAAGAAACGGATGAATTAATCCGGGCCCGGATGAAGCAGGGAGACCGTGAAGGCGTACGCCGAGAGGATGCACTCGCTGATCGTGGACGTCGCCGGCAAGGTCGCCGCGAGCCTGGGGCTGCACGGCGCCTCGTTCCAGGACTGGCCGTGCCAGTTCCGCATGAACAGGTACAACTACACGCAGGACTCCGTGGGCTCCCCCGGCGTGCAGGTCCACACGGACTCCGGCTTCCTCACCGTGCTCCAGGAGGACGAGTGCGTTGGCGGGCTCGAGGTGCTCGACCCCGCCGCCGGCGAGTTCGTCCCCGTCGACCCCCTCCCCGGCTCGTTCGTCGTCAACGTCGGCGACGTCGGCCAGGTTCACAAACATATCATCAAAATATATTCAATTTAATTACTAAAATTAATAAGATATATCCCTCCGTCGGTGCTGTAGGTGTTGTTATTTTTCTATAAATTTGATTCAACCTAAAAATATTAAGAAAATATCAAACGACTTATAATTCGAGACGAAGGGAGTAACTACTATTCCATTTTTCGCGGGAATTTCTCACCGAATCTCGGTGTGTTGTCTCAGGCGTGGAGCAACGGGAGGCTGCACAACGTGAAGCACAGGGTGCAGTGCGTGGCGGCGGTGCCGCGCGTGTCGATCGCCATGTTCCTGCTGGCGCCCAAGGACGACACGGTGAGCGCGCCGGGGGAGCTGGTGGACGGCGAGCACCCGCGCCGGTACAGGGAGTTCAAGTACGACGACTACCGGAGGCTCCGGCTGTCCACCGGCGAGCGCGCCGGCGAGGCGCTCGCGCGTCTGGCGGCCTGACACCTGGCCACGGTCCATTGTCGCGACCGTTTATTACGCGGAGTGCTCACTGCTGACTAGAATGTCCATTAGGCCTCCCTGTATGGCCGTGTCGATTCTGAACAATAAAATCTTCGACGTACGACAGTGAAAAAAATTTGTAAAGGATGCTGAGGGGATGGGAATTTTAGGGGTTAATAAGTCTTTTGTTTGGCTGGAGGAGATGATGAGTTGTAGGAATAACTGGAAGGTGGAGTTTGTGAGTAAATTCCCACCTTTTTAATATAGAGGACTATAATTGGGAGGAAAGTCCCTTTCTGAGCTCTCTAATTTTAGTTAGTTGAATCTTACACGTCCACCATCACGTAAAATCTAATTTCCATCACCATAATTCTTATCTTTGTCAGTATTTTTTTTCTTTTGAAATACAATACGTGTACACTCACCCCTATTAACACGCACACCCTATAGAACAATGATAGTAAATATTTCCAATTATTAATTCCCTCCGGTAATAAAATGTATGGTATTTTAGATAAGTTTTGGGTAAAATTTTAAACTTCGACCGTTAATTTTGTATTATAAAAAATTCATAAAATATAATACATTTATGATAGTACCTTTATGATAGTACCTTTTAAGGTACATCTATGTGAACCATTTCTTTTGTAACAAAAAAAACTAAGTATTTGAGAAGTTAGTGATGGTCGAAATTTCAAAAGTTTAATCAAAATATATTCTAAACATCGACCGGATGGAGTATTTGAAAATGTGAAGTACTCCATCCGTTTCACAATGTAAGTCATTCTAGCATTTCCCACATTTATATTAATGTTAATGAATCTAGATAAATATGGAAAATGCTAGAATGACTTACATTGTGAAACGGAGGAAGTACATAAACAAATAGGGATAACTTAGCACATTTACTTGGACAAATTTACGAACACCTCTTCTTTTGCAAAACTAGCTGGGTGGCCCGCGCAATTGCGCGGCTAGCACCTAAACAAAATCTATTTTTAAAGTATGATTTTACTTAAAATTTATTAAATAACTATCTCATTGTCTTAAGAGTTTGAAAGACCAAACCTTATCATCATCGTGTTTCTAATTATATAATTTTTTTTAAAAGTCACACCAGTTGCTACCCCTTATGTCATCTTCTTCTTTATTTGCTTGCTCGATCTACCACTATTTCTATTCATTCTCCTTGGAATCTTTAAAAATTGTATCTTATAGTTTCTAGAGTTTATTGTCATGTTGGGCTTCGTTTTTATAATTTCTAGACGTCCCATCAAACGTTGCCATTATACTCCTCTATGTCCCGTCCACTGTCTCTTCTCTTTATTGTCATTGAGATTGTAAAAATCGAACATAATTATCGTTTGGGTTCATTTTTACTTTCTAGAAGTCCCGCCAAACCGTCAGCGGCTTTGCCATTGTACTTCTCTACGGCTCGCCCGCTGCCTCCCTTCTTTATTGTCATTGAGATTTTAAAATCGAACATAATTATTATCGTTTTTTCTTTACTTTTTAGAAGTTCCAAACTTTTTAAAATTTAACATTGTAGTTTTTAGAGTTTATTGTCTTGTTGGGTTTCATTTTTTATAATTTTTAGAAGTCTCGTCAAACGATGCCACTATGCTACTCTACGGTCCGTCCGCCGCCTACTCTTTATTGCCATTGTGATTCTAAAAATCGAACATAACTATCGTTGGAATTCATATTTTATTTTCTAAAAGTCCCGTCAACCGTCGGTGGCTCTGCAATTATACTTCTATATACCCCGCTCGCTGCTTCTCCTTTTTATTGTCATTGAGATTTTAAAAATCGAATATGATTATCAATAGGGTTTATTTTTTTTTACTTTCTAGAATTCCCAGCAATCGTCTTGCTCGTTTGCTTCACGGCCTGCCTGTCGTCCCTCCTTTTAATCATCATTAGGATTCTATTTGGTGTTTTATTAGCAGTTTTTATATGCCATATCAACCGCCAACATTCTACTCCTTTATAGACATGTTACTTAATTTATCTTGTCGTGTGTTTTAGATGGTCTTTTCTTTCAATAATCTTTATTTTTATCACAAATTTTAGTTATTTATAAATTGTATTCCTAATTAAAATCATATTTTTATTTTTCTAATTTCAAAATTTATTTTTTTAAAAAAATTAGTTAATACCGTATTGTGTTCTTTAATGTTTTTATTTTTTATTTTCAATTTCAGTTGTTTCAAAATTGTATTCCTTCTTGTGCTCTGTTTTAATTTTTCTAATTTTGGATATTATTTTTTTATTCAAAATTTTAATTAATATCGTATTGGGTTCTTATATGAATTCTTTTTTCAATATTGCTTATTTTTAATTTCGAATTCCTACTTGAATTCTTCTTTATTTTCTTTATCTAATTTCGGATTTATTTTTATTTTTATTCTGAATTTTAATTAATCTCGTATTGGGTTCTTATACGGACTCTTCTTTTAATATTTCTTATTTTTAATTCCGAATTTCAGCTATTTTTAAATTGTATTCCTACTTGTACTCTCATTCCTTTTCTAATTTTGGATTTTATTTTATTTTTATTTCGAATTTTGATTAATCTCATATTGGATTCTTATATGGAAACTTATCTTAATATTCCTTATTTTTAATTGCGAATTTCAGCTATTTTTAAATTGTATTCCTACTTGGACTCTCCTTTTCTTTTCTAATTTTGGATTTTATTTTATTTTTATTTCGAATTTTGATTCATCTTGTATTGGGTTCTTATATGGAAACTTTTCAGCTATTTTTAAATTATACTTCTTCTTGGACTCTCCTTTTTTTTTCCGATTAATGTGGAAATTTTTAGCCCCCGCAGCAACGTGATGCTTCCTTTTAAAACTGTTTTAATAATAGATAGATAGATAGATAGATAGATGTCCTTTACTCCAATTTATATTTCTCATGGGCCATATGGCCATAGAGCAACCAGGCTGGCCCACCCCAAACTAATCCCAATCCTTCGCACGTTTACGGTGGCGACTGGCGATGCTCCCCGCTGCGGTCGTCCGTTCGTCACTCCGCCTTGCCCCTCCCCGCGCCGCCGCTCGTCGGAGAGCCGCCGCCGTCATCACGATGCGGGACAGGAGCAAGAACCGGAAGCCGACGCAGCGGGGTCGCTACCTCAGCACCGAGGCCATCCAGGCCGTCCAGTCCCTCAAGCGCGCCGCCCTCCGGGGCTCCCCCTCCGCCGCCGCCGCCGCCGTCCCCGTGGAGCCCAAGCTCCGGCGGCTGCTCAAGGCCGACATGGTCGCCGTCTTCCGCGAGCTCGCCGCGCAGGGCGAGGCCCTCCTCGCTCTCCAGGTACACCCCTCTTATGCCTGTGACTGTCACCGTGCGCAGTGTATATACTACAATTCTGTGATTCAGTTTGTCAGCGAATCGTACCAGATGTCAATACGTTTTGAACGCAATATCAAATGGCGTCAATTGTTACAAGTTGTGAAGTAGTATGATCTAGGGATTCAACAGTGCTACTCTCTCATGACTTAATTTAGGGATTATTATTACGTGAGGAACCAAGGCGAGATCAGAAATTTTGTGAACAAGGATTCAGCTAAAACCTGACATTACTGGAGTATCTGTGAATCTGTGATCACCGGTATATACTCACTAGTCACTACTCCTGAACAGTTCAAGGCACTCCACTGGATATTTTATCGTTCTAGTTTCTCATCCACTAATTTATCAATTATCAGTTTATCACTGCAGAGCCTTTGTTATTGAGTTAAGTGCTTAGAACCCTGCCATCCTTAGTAAATACTTCCCCCGTTTCATAATGTAAGACTTTCTAGCATTGTCCACATTCATATAGATGTTAATGAATCTAGATATACATCCTACATCATGAAAAGGAGGGAGTAGCATGATGTGCTGCTGTTCTGGCTGCTAGCCTGCTATTGAGTATTGGCCATCTAAAATTCTTGCTCGCCTTAACCCAACATGATTCTTTTTTTTAAAAAAAAAATGGAGATGTGTCGTGGATACTTTTTTCTAGAGCACAACAGGGGATATAAGTCTGTTTACTGTAGGATATGGATTAGGTTCTGTGTGAGACAATACAAGTAAAATATTAAATACCAGTAAAGTCGTGTTAACATATTTGCTGTGGCCTTGCTTACCAAACTCTCCTGATTGATTTGCTTTATCTATTCTTATCTGCATTTAGGATTACTAGATGGTGCTCACAAGCAGAAACTTCTCTAGAACTGAGGAATGGATACTGAGATGCCTCTCAATGTTGATGATTTCTGCTAGGTCTTTGAGGAGATCCGGAAGGAGCATTGGTACAAGCCTAAGTTGCTGTTGTACGTCGATATCGTGACAGTGCTGGCAAGCAAAGGGTTGCGGTCTGAGGTTGACAAGGTTTGTTCATATCTGAAGAGGGAGCAGTTGGAACCTGACACTGAAGGCTTCAATGTGCTTCTGAAGGCACTGCTGGATGCCGAGTTTACACAATTAACCATGGACTGCTTCCGTCTAATGAAACTATGGGACAGTGATCCCGACAGGATAACATACAGAACATTGATTAAAGGCCTTGAGTCCCTAGGAGAGATGGGTCTATCTGCTGATATAAAGTTGGAGGCGCAGAACGATTACGGTGACTTGGACTTTCTTGATGAAGAGGAGATGATCGATACTCTGGAACAAAAGAGCATTTGGCGAGGTTCATCGCTCATCGCGGAGAATAGGAGGGCACGAATTAGCTCTTAACAGGATGTGTCACTGGTAGTGATCTTACCACTCTATCTAATCTGCATTTCAGTATTTGTGAAACTTAGCACGGTTGCGTACATGGTTGTTTGACTGTTTGACAAGGAGATCATTGTGAAATACCAGGAAGCTTTTAGTATAGATGAGAAGAATATGATAGACATTGCACCCAGCAGAATTTGATGACTGGTGACGACTTATACTCACCTGATCATTCTAATGTAGAAGAAAGCATATCTGAGATCTTTTTTATGTTCATGCTTTTTTCCATAGATTTTTTCCCCCTTAAAAAGTTCTGTGTATAATCATGCATTGCTGCCTTGTACTTGAACTTGAGAAATCTAGTAATATGATACAATTCCACTTATGTGTACAATCTCAATCATTTATCATAGAGAAAGGAAGATCAATCATCGAGAGCAAGTTAAAGATCAGCTGGAGTTTCTCTTCATATCTGTTCATGTCTAATCAGCATAAGAATTCTATTCCATTATATTCCTCCAACTGCTAACAAAAATGCTATACGTACTGAAGAAACAAACAGTTCCTGCACGGCTAAAAAGAATGCGTCTGTGACGATCACGATCAGAATACAGGTGCAGCAAAGCACGATCAATTCGACAACATTTCGCATCAAATCAAAAAGTTCTCTCTGGATTTGAGTGAAGGATAGACCAACCTACCGAGGACTTGGATGATCGATGCTGCGTTGTCAACGGTTCATCGCTGCTCCATCTCGAAACTGAATAACGGAGAACGGGACAGAACGAGTCTGACGAAACCCACGATACGGTGGCGCCGCGGGGGGATGCGGGAGGAGCCGCACCGATCGATCGGCTCCCCGACGGAGGTAGACAAGAGCGCACGGCGCACCCTACTCCGCCGCTCAGGGCTCATCCTCGTCGGAGTAGTCGCCGTCCTCTGCCGCCGCGGGCTGGTCCTGGTCCTCGTCGGAGTAGTCGCCGTCCTCTGCTGCCGCGGGCTGGTCCTCGTCCTCGTCGGAGTAGTCGCCGTCCTCTGCCGCTGCGGGCTGGTCCTGGTCCTCGTCGAAGTTGCCGTCCTCGAAGCCCTGAAGCAAGTAGTCCACCAACTCGTCCTCGTCCATGACGGAGTAGTCGGAGCCTTCCTGCATTTCCTCGTCGCCGGAGCGGCCGGACGGTGGCGTTGGAGGTGGCACCGCCTTCGTGTAGATCTCGCGGACCACGCAGTCCATGTTCGCCTTGGGGTTGGGCTGCGCGTACGCGCGGCGGAACTCGGCGGCGCTCTTGTTGAGCCGGTACTCCTTCATCCGCCATCTCGGCCGCGCCGGCGTCGCCGCCTCCTCCCCCGCGCGGTCGGCTTCCTCGTTGGCGGCGCGGAACTCGTACTTGCGCCTGTACGCGACCGCCTCCCCGCCGTCCGCGCCGCCGGAGTACGCCTTGTCGCCGCCGCCGCACGGAAGCCATGCACCTCCGGGCACCTCGCGGCCCCGGCTGTCGGTGGGCTGGTCCCCGAAGAAGTAGGCGCGCACCTCGTCCCGCCCAAACACGTGGCGCCGCGGCTCGAAGGGGATCGCGGCAGGGCGCGTGGCGAAGACGTCCACGCCCTCCACGACGTCTCCCCTCTGAGGGAGGGAGTCGGCGCCGTGGATCGCCATGGGGCCGAGGTAGTTGGCGATGATCTGGCGGTCGCTGGGGCGGAAGCGGTAGCCCCAGGGCAGGTTCAGCACGGCAGCCATATGGGCGGAAGACGCCATTGCCGAGGGCGGCGAGGAGCTTCGAATCGGAGAGAGAAGTTTATTTTTCTTCTTCTGTTTTTTGTCCTTGGAGAGGCTGAATTGGAGCGGTGGAATTGAGGTTTGTGGATTTTGAAATAGAGTGGCTGTAAGCCTGTAATTTATAAGATGGCAGGGAAGTAAAAAAAAAAACAAAACCTGTTTGGAATTTAGATAGAGGTAGAGAGAAATAAACACAAATGTAAGAAGAGATGAAAACTTTAAGCAAAGTTTCAGTTTAATAGGAGGTTTATGGAGTTGAAATCAGTAATTAAGGCTCTCTTTGTTTAGGCTTAGGCTTATTGGCTTAGACTTTTAAGTCAGCTTATTGGCTTATATGATTTATAAGCCGGTGAATTTACTGTCCTAAGTTTAATGGTGGAGTCATACATCTACCTCACATAAGTCAAAAAAGCTTCTCCAACCTAGCTTTTGGCTTGATAGCGTTAGAGTGGCTTATGGCTTAAAAAAACCAAACGAAAAGGCCGCTTGTTTGTTTAGTCTTATACTTTTCAGCTTATAAGTTGGCTTATAAGTCTAAACAAAGAGGGCCTAAGTATCCTATAGGCTGGACGCAGTTTCAGAAATCAGAATTCTAAAACATCTGCTGGAACATTTTTTTTCTTTTCTTTGCTAACTCTAAAACGGATTAAGGTGCAAATCTTCCATTCAAATGACTATATAAGTAAGAATGTTAAGGTAAACATGCTTGTTTACCGAGATTCTTGTAATTAGCTCAATTTTGTGTTCCAAACACCTATAATCTCATGCTTTTTTTTCTACTAAGTTTATTTATGGTTCTTTGTTTTAGAGTATATATGTATTTCTATTTATCCTTACATTTTCACATTTTTGCGTTTCATACTAAAATCCTATGTTTTTTTTTTCGAAAGAAAGCCCGACACTCCATTGGAACTACTCCCTCGATCTACTTTTGATAATCATTTTTTCAAATCTGAAAATTTTATTTTTGATAGGCATATTTCAATCCAACAACTTATCATCTTAATGGTACTCTCCATTCTTTCATACAAGATTGGCTACATGGGCATCGAGGAATGTAAATATTAATGAATCGCTTGTTTACGAGGAATGACTAGTAGCATATTTAAATGGATGATTAGTATAATCACTTATCGTTGATCTGTGTGCCAAGATGAAATATGACTACCAAAAGTAGATGGAGGGAGTATTTGGAAGGTTTGCTTTTGGAAATTTGTTCGAATATTGGGCTTTGAGGCCCATAGCTTGTCTCCGGAGTCCGGACAGCGGGCTACTCAAACGCAGCCCATTATGAGCCCCGAAATAAAAAAAAATGGAAAGGCGTAATCTATAGTATACGTATTAGTATACACGGCGACGCCCAAGGGCTTATCAAACTCTATCCACTCGCCGGGGAAGCAAGCAAACCGCCGCCGCGTGCGCTGGCCACGCCGCCTCCGGCGACCTCTCCTCTCGCATCCGCCATGGCGGAGCCGAGAGCTAGATGCCGAGCTCCCCAGAGCAGCACTAGCCCCACCTGGCCGCGGCGGGTGGAGGCGCTGACCCATATCCTGACCCACCCCTCCCACTCCCCGTCGCTCCACTCGCAGCTCTTCCTCGCGTCCCGCGTGCCGTGCCCGCCACCGGGCTCCACCTACCCGCCGTTCCTCTGCCCCGGCGCCGGCGACGGCGCTGGCCTCCTCCGGTGGGCGCTCGCCTCCGTGTTCCTCCCGCGCGCCGCCAGGCTATGCCTCCCGCCGTCGTCGTGGCGGTCCCGGTGCCCCTTCCAGCTCCCGCCGCCGGTCGTGCCCTCCGCCGCCATCGAGCCGGCGCCGGAGCGGTGGGGCGAGGCGGAGCTCCGGGGTTACGCGCGGCGGCAGCGGGCGCAGAGGGGCCCCATGAGGGCGCGGCCGCCGCACTCCATCGCCGGGGCGGTGCTCACCATCGTGCCCAACGTCGTCATCGTCGCGGCGGTCATCCGCGAGCTGTTCTGGGTCCGGCCTAACCGCATCTGAGCCCATTGAGGTACGCGGATCTTCACCGGCGGTGCTAGGGTTTCGTGAAAGTGTAGTGCAGTGCAAATTCACATGTTGCGAATTTACGATCGTGTCGCGGTAGCAACTTAGGTGTAAAACGTTCTCAGCCTGCAAGGCTGTGATGTTGTTTGCAATTGCTCCTTTTCAAATTTTAAGCTACAAATTGCAAATGCAATTTATGTGCCTCGTACGTTGCGGATGTCGTAGAGTTCGCCTTTGCAAAGCAACTGGAGATTTGGATTCATCTGAATGACTGATTCTGAACATTTAAGTTGTAGGTACTTGGCAACGCAGGCTCCATTATAGCTCAACATAGATTGTATCTGATGCTGGTGATTCGGTAATTAGTGCAACCAGTGGTTTGTTTGCAACCGACTGAATGCCTTCTTTATTGAAGCAGAGCAGTACATGAGAGCTATAGATTCATGCTGTAGTACATGACATAGATACACATTTGGGGCTCTATCTCTTTTGAACCTGTTGATTATTTATGGCGAGATGTCCACTACCGATGTTGCTTGTGGGGTCAGGAGGTGCTATGATCTCAAGTTCTCAACAGCTCCATCAGGCATCTGGATCAAATTATGCGTAGGGCCCATTTAGCGAGTCCGTTGGTTACACTAAAGTACTGCTGCTACAAACCTTTGGCATTGGTCCTTGGAGCTGTTGAGCATACACTGCTTGCCTCTTTGATTGTCTAGTCATGACAAAGTAACGGATGTTCGTTGGGATAACTACATTCAGGTCCGCTACATGTTGTACTGGCTGCCGTCATTGGGCAGAGATATTTTGCTGGGATATGCCATCTGGGTCAAGTGTAGCACAATGGTACCAGTCCATATTGAGTCTGGATCTTATCTCCACACACATTGATTCTGTGGTGTTAGTCAAGGCGAATTGGTGAAGTATGTCTAGCCGTTTGTGTTGAGGACCACTTGTATATTCCTGAATATTCACTGGAAAAACACAAAGTTTGTAGAGTCAGCTCTGCCATGTTGAAATCTATGTAGTGGTTTGTAGATCATGCAGCGACTGGATGAAGCACAAAGTTTCCATCATCTTCCATGTTGAAATCCACCATCAGATTAATCTCTTGCCATGAGCCAGCTGCGGAGTTCTCTCCTTTGGCGGGTTGGCTGGATGAAGGGAGGGGGAGCCTATCAGGGGTGAACCGGTGCAATGCCCTTGTCTACCAAACAGCGGTGTTGTTAAATCAGACATCAAGGGGGCAGGAGAAGGTTTTGTTGTCCATGGTTCTGAATCCAAATGCAATGTCACGGTAGGGTGAAGGCCGTGAGTTGTTCATATGAGCCCTGAGCGGCCAAAAGGATGAGTTTAGACTTCAGAGTGCGTAGTTGACATGGAACAGAGATGACTCTGAATCATGATTTCTGGCTTTAGGCATGGGTATGGAACTGTAATAGTTACCTATAGTTTTTCTGGGTTCCACAAGACCGGGAGGAAATGCTTGACCAGTTAAATTTACATAGGACACCCAAGCAAGTCACTGGAGACACCAGTCTACCTTAAATCTGGGAAGAACTATGAGTAACTGCATGTTCTTTTCAAGGTTCTGGCTACAAGTAACAGTGGCGCCTCATGGGGACAATCGAGGGGCTAAGGCAACCCTGAATTTATTCCTTCTGCAGAGGTTGTCCAATTTCAAGGCATATTGTTCTTGTTCTCTTCTTGAGAGAATGGTAAGGTAGGACCTTTGGTGTCAAAGCTACATTTGTTGTAATCACCCCCTCCTTTTTCTTCTTGATACAAAAATAAACAATATTGCCTGTTCTCTTAAGTTGGCCTGCTATCTTTATTTGGATAGAAGTGTGGGTACATTTGTTTGTGATCAAATCAAACCGTGTTTGTTCTGGACATCATTTTTAGAGTTAAGAGCTTTCATTCAAAATAGAGTTTGAGAGCTCAGGGAAAGTTCAGGTGGAGGTCTGTTGGTGTTACCCTGCACAACAGCTGACCAAGAGTCTCTTTGTCGATCGCTTTGGAGGACAATTTATTGAGAAATTTTTAGCATGCGTGGGAATCGAGCAGGGAGATGACTCGTGATTTTGGGATGCCTTCTACTATCATTGATTAGAATCACGCATCTGTGGTGGAAAGAATGCAACAAGGCGTTTCGTCTGCTTTCAAACACCCGTCACATTTTAAAGATTTCAGTACTTTGTTTTACTCTTGGTGCTTTTCCCCCAAACCACCTGTATTAGCTACTACTGAACTCTCACTGATCACATTATGCTTCTTTTCTTCATTTCTTGTGTTTGAAATTCTTGAATCCCATGTTTGGTCCTGTTTTATCCAGCTGGGTCAGTGCAGTGTAATGGAAGTGCCAATTTACGAACAGACAGGATGTATCACGAAAAAAAATGTTTTGAAATGGTATTGTATGAATCAATACTACTCTAGAGTCTAGAACAATTAGAACAGTATAAAAAATATTAAAAAAATGGCGTACTCATTCTGCTGTGCTGCCTCCAAAATCCCCAAAAAAAAGAAAGAAAAGAAGAAAACTGCTTTGTTAGTGATTGATCGATGAACATGGATTTGTTTACGTCGGGCTGTGCTCGGTCGGCGTCGCGGGCGCGCCGCCGCCGCCGCCGGGCGCGGTGACGAGGCCGAGGATGGGGGAGCCGACGGTGCTGGCCGACCTGCCACCGCTGCCGCTGCCGCTACCGCTGCCACTGGACGGGCCGGAGAAGTTGGAGGCCGAATCGGACCCCTGCTCCCGCCGCCGGCGGTGGTCGTCGTCCTCGGACTGGCACGGGGTGGCGGGCACCGATTCGGAGTCGTCGTCGTCGTCGCCGCCGTCGTGCGAGGGCTCGGGCTGGACCACGCTGTAGAGCTCGACGATGGCGTCGTAGTTGTCCGCCCACCACCGCTGCGCCGCCCGGGCGCCGTCGAACAGCTCCTCGCTGAACCGTATCCTGCGGAGGTGGTTGGTGCCGTCGGGGCGCGCCACCAACGTCATCAGCACCCCGGGCTCCGGCTCCGCCACCCACTCGTGATCGCTCTCCTCCTCCTCCGCCGCCGCCGCCGCCATGGCATGATCCGTGGTGGCCATTGCCTCATCTTCCTCCACCACCCCGGCGCCGTCCTCCGGTGGGCAGCAGCACTTGTCGCTGTGCTCCTGCCCCCTCCCTCCTTGCTCGTCCTTGCCCCGCCGGCGATCGTCATCGCCGCCGCCACCACTAGTCGTGGCCTCGTTGCCATCGGCTTCCTGCGCCTGCGCCGGCGCGATCTTGGCCGACGCGGACGGCGCCGCCGCCGCCGCAATGTCCTTCCCCTCCATCTCCACCACCTCCTCCTCGTCCTCCTCCTCCGGCCGCTTCCCCCGTCTCCGCCGCCGCGTCCGCCCGTGACTCCCTCCGCCACCGCCCATCTTCACCTTGAGCGACATGGCCTTCATCTGCAAACGCACACAAAAAATCACCAAAAATCAAACTCACACCTCCATCCATAACACCATGCATTCACAGTGTGCGCAGCTGCTGGCGTACGTTCTTGGTGAGGTCCCTGATGATCCGGATGGACCTGATCCTGCCACCACCACCACCGCCGCCATGGAAGCACGCGTGCATCCTCCTCCTCCTCCGACCACTCGCTGATTATCCACTCTGTCTCCTCTGCTCATGGGGGCACCTGCGAAAGAAGGAGAAGAAGCAGAGGAAGGCGTGGGGGATGATTTTGATTTGAAATGCGCGTGCGTGCGTGCGTGCGCAGGAGCAGAGTATAGAAGGGGCAAAGCCGCAGCCGCAGCGGCAGCAGAGCAGCACGGAATTAACGGGCGGACAAACGCGCGGTGTCCATCTCACTAAATGCGGGGGAGGGAGAGATATAGTAGGAGTAGTAGTAATTCATGGCGCGCATTTAGGATTTCGAATCCGGTACGTGTATGCTCCAGCTAGGAAGCGAGCAGGAGTAGTACGCGTTTACGCACCCGCACGTACACGTACGGTGGATTTCGAAATTTTTTTACTACCTTTCGGTTCTGCTCGCCGGATACTGCTATACTTCCCGAACATTGATGATGGGTTTCATTTTCCGAAAGGTCCAAGTGTAACGTTGCGACGCCCACAGGACAAACAGAGATAGTAGAGAGGGGAGTGATACTGCTGTGCTGTACATCCGCCGTTCCAGAAGCAGCACGCCGCGCCGCGCGTGCGATACTGCAGGTGCGGGGTGCGCCGCGGCGGAGACGGGAGCTTGGCATGTGCCGCGCGTTTCGGTGAGAGTGGCGGGGATGGCGGGTGGGGTAGGCTGTGGGTTTACTTGTACTCCTAGTGTCAAAATAAATTAATTAATAACCTGAATAATACACCGAATTCGTTACAGTGTATTATTTACTCTTCTTTCGTTCCATAAAAAGCAAACTTATATGAAGAAGAAAGAAGATAACGAAAGGAAAATAAAACTTTGTATTTGGCAACTATCTTATGCTAGATTTGTTCTATGAGACAGGGGAACTATGTTGAGAGTCTTGAGACGGAGTAGGTTGCTCCAAGCGGGGCGGGCCTTTTACGAATCGTGATGGGCCGAAGTGGGAGGCCGGAGGCCTGAGGCCCAAGCACACACCGGAAGTGGGCCGGAGGCCCTATAGGCTGCACAATCTGCGCACTAGTGCGCTAGTGGACCACACGCCGGCTTTGCACCCGCCGTTGCTTTGCTTCCACCGTCTTCTTCTCGCTCGCCTGACACGCTTCCCGTCCCAAAGCCTCCGTAGTCCTCCGCCGACGACCGCCGCCGTTCCACGCATCGGCGGCGGCAAGGCCTCCGCGGAGTTATGGGGGGAACTTAATCCCTTTGTTCCTCGCCGGTGACTCCCTGGGGAACCTTAACCCCTTTGTTCCTCAACCGCCTATCGCCAATACCTCCGGCTTCTCGTCCGGGGAGCACCCTGTGCCCGGCGGCCCGCCGCATCTGAGCTCTCGGGTTAAAGCTCTCGCAAGTTTCGAAATCCGTTGTAAGCTTGCGCTTGTTTCGCAGCAGTGTATGTTGTCGCATGGTTTTGGAACTGCGAAATGTGATGCCATTTGCAAACGTTTTGTGAGAGAAAAAAAATGACGCCAAGCTGTTCCGCAGATTTACAGTGTTTTTTCCCCCAAAAAATTACAGCGTTTTTCATTGCAGTCTTGCAGAGATCTTCTTGCTAGCATTTGTGTAGCACTATGGCAGAAGCCCTGCTAGCCAAAACGGAAGAGTTTCTGAGAAACGAATGTATGCATAAATCATGTCGAGGCTCAAATCAGATGACACCAGTACTGAAAGTCTGAGACTTTCTTATTTTTGTTGAGTATAGAGGTATGTCCACAACAATATCTTAGAAGTTACAACTTAAAAGTTACAACAGTTCCAATACTGAAGCATTACTTAGGCTCTGTTCGTTTCCTGGAGTTCCCAACTCCCCCATCTCATTTTCCGCGCGCACGCTTTTCAAACTGCTAAACAGTGTGTTTTTTGCAAAAAGTTTATATACGAAAGTTGCTTAAAAAAATTATATTGATCCATTTTTGAAAAAAAAATTAGCAAATAATTAATTAATCACGTGCTAATGGACTGCTTCGTTTTCCGTACCGGAGGGATGGGTTCCCAACTCAACCAAAAGAACAGAGCCTTATTGGAGCAGTATATGTGATGTGAAGATGAGAACTTACATTTTTCTTAAGAGAAAACAACTGAGGATTCTTGTTGAAGTACCCACCATAATATTTGACTTTCTGCGGTTGTCTAAAACTGTAGGTTATATAGCACAACATGCTGCATTACTGCTGTCCTGGGCACGAGCATTACTGGAGTGAACTGATATATGATGCAGGGTCAGGAGGCATCGCGATCTCAACAGCGCCATCAAGCATTTGGGTCACCTTATGCATGGTAGGTCGCATGGCCGGGTCCTCTTGGATGCACCAAAGTGCTACTGCAAGAAACCTCTGTACCCTCTTAATGTCAAATGATGCCTCCTCATCACCCTCCACCAGCAAATCGATTCTTCCAGAACGATAACAATCATTTGCCCAGTCAGTAAGTATTTCTCTATCGTCATTGGTCATGTCTTTCTCCACATTACGCCTGCAACATATAATCTCTAGTAGGATCACCCCAAAACTGTAGACATCCACCTTGGCAGTGATAGCAATGTTCTTGAACCATTCAGGTGCAACATATCCTCGGGTTCCCCGGATTCCAGTGTGCGTTTGTGTTTGGTCCATCCGGAGCAGCTTTGCTAAACCGAAGTCAGAAATTTTTGCTGTGAGGTTGTTATCAAGAAGGATATTCTGAGGCTTTATGTCGCAGTGGATGATCTGTGTGCTGCATTCCTCATGCAAATAGAGCAATCCTCTTGCCACCCCTATTGCAAACTGAACTCGTAGATACCAAGATGGCCTGACAGTGTCAAAAAGGAATCCAGTAAGTGAGCCATTTGGCATAAACTCATAAACAAGCAATCTTTCAGCCCCTTCATTGCAGAACCCCAGCAACCTGACCAGGTTTTTGTGAAATGTCCACCCAATGGTCTGGACTTCCACTGCAAACTCCTTTTCAATATCTGGCATGATCCTGTCAATTTTTTTTACTGCAACATATGTACCAAGGGGATCTTGTAATTGCCCCTTGTAGACTACCCCAGAACCACCTCTACCAACTTCTTCACTGAACCCACCTGTTGCCTCATGAAGTTCTTCATAAGTGAAAGATTTCAAAGGAAGTCCCCCAGTACTAGATGATTGCTTTGGTAGATCTGTTTTCTTGCTTTCCATTGCAAAATAATTTTGAAAAATAATGAATGAGGCAAGGAGAATGCACATCAAGAAGAAGCTTCCAAGGAGTAGAGAGCTACCGAGGATCCAATGCTTCTTTTGTTTCTTCCACTTGATGGAGTTGCTATTAAGTTGAGACTGAGTATTGTTGTTCTTGGGCACCTTTAGATAAAGTGTTCTATCAACACTACTGTCCAATATTCCATTGGACATGGGGAGCTTCTTCTTCCAACAGTCTCCATTGTTAAATACCACGACAGCGCAGAAGCAATCTGTCAAGCATAGTTTCTTGCACTCATCCATGCCAACAGAGGTGTAGTGCTCATAGTCTGCAAGAGGCCAATCCACTCCATTCATTGGGATCAAATCAAACTGATCGATCATGGTTTCTTCATCCAAGTCACAGCTCTGTGGTTGGAAGTCTGCTTTGCAGCCTTTGTACTTCAGTGCCTGGTCTATGAACGAGTAATGTGGTGGACATTGGCAATCCACTGTCTCGTTCAGGCTCCAGTTGAAGTTGCAGAAGCTGTTGAACCCGCATGCACCACTTCCATCATCACTTCTGATGGCTTGACATATGTTCCTGGGGATGAAGTCCACAGTAGTCCATCCTATGTTGTTCCACTTCCTCGCTGCCTCCTTTGGGTACACATACTGGCGAAAAACACCATCTGGGTCAAGTGTTGCACGCTGGTAGTAGTCCCCCATTGAACTCATGATGGTAGACGTGATATTAATTTCAGTGCGATCCTTCAAGGTGAAGTATACCCTTCCGGTTGCATTGAAGAAAAGTTGTGATCCATTTCCGCCTGTATTGGTGGTCCAATATGTGGAATACGGGTTTCCTGAGGGAACAGCAACTAGATCAAATTCAAGGTCTCCATCTTTCACTTGAAGTAGAAACCGGCCATTGGAGTAGTCTGTGTGTGTCAGTCGACTGTAGAGTTGAACTTCAGAAAATGGCCCTTGTGTGGGAAGGATGGTGTCCGCTGGGCTCTCAAAGGTTCCCCACTTTATAGAACCATCTGCGCCAGCAAGCACGAAGTTTCCAGTGTCAAGCATGTTGGCATAAGCTGCACTGGTAACTTGGGGATTCCAAAGCTCATGGCCACCAGGGTCAAGGAGTGACAGACCATTAGAGCTAAGCTGAAGTCGAGAACCAGAAGGCACTACTACTAGCTCTGGCACCTGTGTGTTGGTCTTAGCATACCATGCCAAGGTTTTGTCGACGGTCTTGTCAAACCAGACAGCAAGGAGGTAAGAGTTGTTACCATTGATGAGTTGGAAGCCAAATGCAAAATCGCCGGAGGGTGAAACCCACGATGTGTTCACGCCTTCAGTCGTCAAGAACGAGCCCTTGGTGATGTTCCGCTGGGCTTTAGAGGGAGCTACTGTGAACACTAGGAGGAAGATGAGGGTGAAGAGATGTTCCATACTTTTTGCAGTGGTATGAGTTCAGTTGTTCAGGTAGCAACTTTAGTGTGCTGCAGCTCAGCTATATCATGGCAGGAATGAGGGGTCTGCTGCCTTGAGCTTGACTAGGAAAATTGAAGCGACGACTTGGAAAGACCAGCAGAGGGTTACACGACAAGAAGGGTGAAGGGATAGCTAAGCTAGATCTTTTTAACATTTATTTTTGAACCAATAGGACCCCGAGGACCTGCTTAACCAGAAACAACAATGAAATGAAGACTTAAAAAGTTCGCCAAAGAACTAGTGACGTATAGTGAAGGTTTATAATGTATTGGTGTTTTAATATTTTTCACTTGAATTTACAGAATGTGAAAATTTGATGATTTGCCACACCCATCATGTGTTGGCACATTGTCATGTCAATGAAAACCTCCCAAGCACTCAATGTAGGAGGGGAAACAAACATCTCGAAAGATACTTGATCATCCTTTTCAGTTTCAGTTTCATTATGAGTTGCGTATTGGGAATTCAGATAATATTGCATGATTTTTGTTTACAGATTGTAGAAAATTTACAATTTCAAGTTTTCCTTGGGTAGTTGGGTAAGGCAAGAAGGGTGGTCGCCCTTAGGCTCTATACTGGGAGGGGCCTCCCGTATGCACTAATGCTTAACCCAACTAACACAGAGGTCAAATGCGTGGTCTTTTGAGTTTGTTCTGTAATTGTACTATCACTTGAAAGACCAGCATATACAAAGCCTTTTCTAGTTTTCTCACACATTGTGATGGGAACATTGAGACTGTAACATTCTAACTGGTTCATGAAGTACCTAACTAATGCAAGCTGATTCAGATCGATTAGTTTGTGGGATGCAAACACTAAAGCATGATGTTTCTGTACTGTACTTTTGATTTGCTTAATTTACCGGTGATATGATAATCTATTGAAGTTACAAGGAAGCAAGCCATTGATAGCATATTAATCATGGAAACAATCAATCGATTTATGATCCATCAGTTTTATATCACAGTTGCAGTCCTCTTAAATTAACTGGTTTGAACTCAGTTTATGTGCAAGTAAGTGCAAATGTAAATTATCTTTAGATTTCCGGAACGTATGCAATGTCTTTGTGGGTCTGATTGTCTGAGAAACATTGCATATGTTTGAAAAGGGCCTTTTATTTCTGTTCTTCCGGGGCCTATCAAATGTTAGGACCGGGCAGTCTATAATTAACCGTCGAAAAGAAGCAGAGCATCTGGCTTGTCTCGAATATGAACATGAATATGATTGATGCTTCCTCGTTGGAGAAAATAGGTATAACCCAATCAAGTCTTTGTCTAGATTGCCACTGGAGCCTGGAGACTGGGACATGCTGATATAGAAGCTCCAGTCTGCAGCTACCACGTACAGCATGTAAGCTACTGGAACAACAGGGTGATTGCATCGGTGTTAAAAATATGAACCGCACACGTGGGGAAGTGATTGTAACACCTGCACTGTTGCTGCCGTTTGTTAGATGGCGAGAGCAACCAACGAGACACCTGATTAGATATTAGCGAAAGTTACTTCCCTCTAGTAATATAGGTTTATTACTCCCTCCGTTTCATATTACAAGTCATTTTGACTAGTCAAACTTGTTTAACTTTGATCAAGTATGTAGAAATGTATGGTAACATTTTGAACATAAAACAAAAATGCTATTGAAATATATTCAATGATATATTTGATGAAGCTAATTTTGTATAGTAGATGCTGCTATTTTTTTTAATAAACTTAGTAAAAAAATGACTAGAAGAAAAGTCAAATCGACTTATAATAAGGGTTAATTAATGAAGGGAGTATTAGATTTGTTAAGCTTTTGAAACCTTGATCATTAATTTTTTAGACGAAATGTCAAATACCCTGTTTTTAATAGAAAGCCACAATGGTTAAGCTGGTAACGCCAGCGTACAATGAAGTTCATCAAAACACAGACCGGGCATAAAAATTGAAGATGGTTTCGCGGTTCGTCATCCGTGTTTGAGTTCGTTTGCTTTTGGAAATGCATATCCGTATTTGAGTCGGTTTATAAGATCGCTCACTTTTGTTAATACAAAAGAAATCATATAAGAAATCTGTTTAAAAAAACTCGGATGCTAACTTGTGACGATTGGACTTCTAACTACATCTCAAGATTTTCTAAAATAATATATATCCAAGCGAACTTTTACAGTAAATTTCATATTAACTAAACCATATCTCTATCTCTATCTCTATCTCTATACTTAAAAAATACAAAACGTTTCCTTCATCCGTAATAACAAAAAAAAAATAGCGAAAAAAATAAACTAAAAAAAAAGTCCGACTCACCTAGATCCGATTCCCCCATGAAAACAGAAAAAATAGTCCGACTCCCCTAGGTAAACGTTTCCTTCGTCCTTAAAAAAATAGCGAAAAAAATAAACTAAAAAAAAACCCGACTCCCCTAGATCCGATTCATCCATAAAAATAAAAACGGAAAAAAAAGTCCGACTCCCTGAGTAGATCCAATTCCCCTTAAAAACAATAAAAAAACGATGTGAAAAATAGCAACTTGCAATCCTTGCTGGTGCCAATCTGAGACCGAGATCCCGGCAATCATTCCTGGTGAAAAAAATTCATTTGCTGGATCGATCTGTTTGTAAAAACGGAACCTACAGGACGTGAGCATTCTATTTTTGTATGATTTTAATTTTTGGGATTATAATTTTGTATTTGAGTCCCTACAATTTTTGTATTTATATTTGAGTCCCTGTAATCTTGCAATAAGGTACTTGAGGTTGTTTTTGTTAAAAAAAACAATAAAAAAGGATAGAACCAAGGCAGAAAGGTGCATAAAAAGAAAAGAAAAGAAAAGCCACACCAAGAAAAGAAAATAAAGAAACAAAAAGAAAAACAACAACAAAAAAGTCAGTTTCCCCTAAGTGGTCAAAAAACCGTAGATCTGAACGTTAAAAAAATCCGATTCCTATAAAAGGCAAAAAAAAGGTGAAAAAAAGCTTAAAAAAATGGTGAAAAAAAGCTAGATCCGATTCCTTTAAAAAGGGAAAAAAAGTCCGATTCCTATAAAGTGGAAAGAAAATCCGAAAAAACATCTAAAAAAGTTTGTCTGATTCCCTAAAGAAAGTGGCGAAAAAAAAAACGGTTCGTAAAAAAATAAAAAGCCGGTTTGTATAAAATAAAAAATACACGCGAGAAAAAAAATAGAAAGGGCGAAAAAAGGTCTGATTTCTATTCGTTTGAGTAGTAAGTATATATCTCTTCTCTGTGTCCCTAATGTAATCTAACTATTTAAAAAGAAAAGATTTCATCATACAACTAAAAAAATGCATGAGAAAATAAAAATGGTACAAAAAACGCGTACCACAAAAAGTCAGAAAAAAGTGCAAAAAGGCACGCTAAAAAAAAGTTTTCCATCTTCCATAAAAAATAAAAAAACATGTGAGAAAAAAATTCCATTGTCGGTAAAAATATTTTCAAAAAACATGCGAGGAAAAACTGTCAGAAAAAACGTGCCATTTCTGAAAAATGGTTTGAAAAAAAGCGAAAGAAAAAAACACCGTCTATTGAAAAACAAGCCGCTCTGAAAAAACAAGACGCTTGAGTCATCCATCGATTTTTTGCCATCTACTACATAGCTTTTGTTTCGTCATATATTCTCCTGTATTGGAAAAAAGCAAAAAAAGAACATTAAAAAACAAGCAAAAAAACTCGCGAGAAAACAATTGTCAGAAAAACAAGGCAAAAAAAAAAACAGGCGAGAAAAGAAAAGAAAAAAAACACGGGAGAAAAATATGGTTTCCATCATCAGTAAAAAAAAGTAAAGAAAAAACATGCTATGAAAATACTGTCAAAAAGAAATGCATCATTTCTGAAAAATGGTTTGAGAAAACCGTGCAAGAAAAAAACATCATTTATGAAAAACAAACCGCTCTGAAAAACAATAAAAACGTTTATAATAAAATCGAGTCGAAAAAACTATCGGATTCAACGCGAGAAAAAGCCGTTGTTTCTAAAAACGGTTCGAGAAAACCGTCTAACTTAACGTGAGAAAAAAAACATCATTTCTAAAAAGGTTAGAGAAAACCGTCCAACTCAACACGAAAAACAAACTATCATTATAAACCGCTCCGAAAAACGTCCGACTCAACGAGAGATAAAATTAATGGACGTTTGGATTGGATAGGGTGCATCAATTTTTTTTCCATCTCCTACTTGATGGACGCTTGGGTTCGACTCTATTTTGTGTAGACTTGACCATGCGAGATAGTGTAGGATTTGATTGATCCTATTATTAGTCGCATAAAAGATATTGAAAGAATATTTTAGTTTATATTGAATAATCTAATTGTTTTAGGTAAAACAAGCATTGGTACGGTTGCCATCATTGAGGTTGGACCATTACATTGAAGATGTTTTAATTTTCTGATTGGTTTAGCTGCAAACGATCCATACAAACATTGTCATTGACATGGTTATGCATAAAAAAACGTTTTCACCTGTTGTAACGCACGGGCATATTAGCTAGTAATAATAATAAAGTTAAAATAGACTTCAACCATTGCGATGCACGGATATTTTTTTCTAGTTACTAAAAATAATCGAGCTAATCCGCGCTAAAATACCGTGAAAATTGTGGTTTTTTTTTTCGGTTTTCCGTTTTCACTCGTAATGGCACCGCACCGCCTTGTGCTGCGGTAGCTGACACATGTACATGTGCGTCAGTAACCATTAGTTTTCTCGATCTGAATAAGCCATTGAGTTTTGTCACTACTATTGATAGGGGCCGGGAGTTTTGCTTGTTAGCCCTTGTTTTTCATAAAATATTTCATTGTCTCCAAATACAAGGGATCTTTAAGGTTTTCTTTTTAAAGATTAAGGAGAAAGGGAAAAAATAATCCTTATTAAATGAGGTGTACGTGAGTAGGAAGATGGTTGGCGTATGACTAAGTGGAAATTAAACGAGTAATGTTAAGTGAGAAAGCAATAATTTAGAATCCCTTACATTTAGGTTAAAAGGGAAAATATTTAGTGAAAAACCTGAAAACTAATGTTGGATAGAAAAATATACGTCTGATATTCACGTCACCATAAGTACAATTTTACTTATGAGTTGAGTAAATCTACGAGTAAAAATTTTATTTGTGATGTTGTGAATGAATCTACTACATATGTAGTTTTCATCATATAAATTTGTATATTAAAAATGTACTCCTACATAGCATTCCTAGTATGAGCGGCCTGGAGCTCGATAGGACCCCTAGCATCACCAAAATTCTTCATATTTCCTTTTCAAAACTGATTGACGGTTTTCTTTCTAAAACTGATTTTCAGGTTTTTTTAGTGAAAAAATTATATCGAGATACCAAAAACTCTAAGCTAGTTTTGGAGTTTCCACCCATATATTTCGTGCGCTTCTCGGGGGTAGAGCCAGGAAGGTCGCAGAGGAAGATCGGCGTGCGCAGGAGGATCACGGGATCCTTTTCCGGGCGGTCACGGAGGAAAAAAATATGTTGGTAGTTTAACAAGGAACCATTTAGGCTTTCTCTTGAAAAGTTTAATTTTTTCACTTTATATTTTCATCAGTCTATAAAAACCAAAAACAAAATACTGGTGACAGACTAACGGTCGGATTTTTGCATATAGGACCTTCTTTAGATCTTCACTACGGAATAGTGGTTGGCCAGTTGGGCTCTTTTTTACTTTGCAAAATAGCCCTCCACATGACATCACCCCTCGCGCGGCTGCTGCTCTCCGCGTCGTCTCTCCCTCCGGTTCGCCGGCCGCCGCCATGGCGAACAGCCTTCTCCACCTCCCTCCCGCCCAAAAAAAATGGGGGCAGATCTCGCCTCCAAGTCCACGACCCGTACACTCGTGTCCCTAGGAGTCCACCACGGCGGAGGCGCTGCCCTCCGTGGCGGCGCCGTCGGAGTGGTGGGGGCGAGGCCGAGCCATCAGCGAGCCGAGCACACGGGCGGCGGCGGCGAGCGCGGGCACCGCGGGTGCTGTGGTGGTAGCGCGCCCAACCCCTCGAGCTTCGCCGCGCGGCGTCTTCGTCGAAGGCTCCCGCATCCTCTTCCGCAGCACAGGTAGGTTAGGTAGTCGTCTCCTCTCTCCTCTGGAAGTCTGAAACCCCCGATTGCTATCTGGTGATCTGGTCTCGGAAATTCTCTGTCGCTAGGGGTAGGGGAGCCGTGCGGCTGCGATTCCGTTATTAGTTTATTATTCGTTCTGTTCTGCCGATCGTTGGACTCGGTGCTGCGTGTAGACACGCGTGAATCCTAATTTTGACGAGCTGCCATTGTGATGGTAGCATCAATTCTTGCTAGAATCTTTACTGTAAGTGACTATGCTTTGCGCTCTCAGTTGGTTGTTCTCTATGCTGTTTACTTACATAAACATTTCCGTTAATTATGGATTTATGGTAATAATGGAACAATCAAACAAAAAAACATGGGACATCAACTATCTCTTTAGACATTGTCATTACAAGCCAGCTTTTAGTAAACATAATAGTGAACTCTCTTACAGATATTATTATTTAGGCGCTGAAGCATTAGCAGTAGATGTAGATGTGAAGATGAGAACTAACATTTTATTAAGAAAACCATTGAGGATTCTTGTTGAGTTGCCTAGCATAGCACTTAATACTTAGGTTAAGCAGCTATCTGAGGCTGCAATTTATTTAGCATGACACGCTGCATTACTGGAGTTCTGAGTGTGGCCATTACTGTAGTGAACTGATATATGATGCAGGATCAGGAGGCACCGCGATCTCAACAGCACCGTCAAGCATTTGGGTCACCTTATGCATGGTAGGTCGCATGGCTGGGTCCTCTTGGATGCACCAAAGTGCTACTGCCAAAAACCTCTGTACCCTCTTAATGTCAAATGATGCCTCCTCATCACCCTCCACCAGTAAATCAATTCTTCCAGAGCGATAACAGTCATTTGCCCAGTCAGTAAGTATGGCTCTGTCCTCATCAATTATGTCTTGCTCCACATTACGCCTGCAACATACAATCTCTAGTAGGATCACCCCAAAACTGTAGACATCCACTTTGGCGGTGACAGCAATGTTCTTAAACCACTCAGGTGCAACATACCCTCGAGTTCCCCGGATACCAGTTGTTGTTTGTGTTTGGTCCATCTGCAGCAGCTTTGCTAAACCAAAGTCGGATATTTTTGCCGTGAGGTTGTTGTCAAGAAGGATATTTTGAGGCTTTATGTCACAGTGGATGATCTGTGTGCTGCATTCCTCATGCAAGTAGAGCAGTCCTCGTTGGTACCAAGATGGTCTGATGGTGCAGAAAATGAATTCATTAAGTGGCCCGTTTGGCATGAACTCATAAACAAGTAATCTCTTAGCACCTTCATTGCAGAACCCCAGTAACCTGACCAGGTTTTTGTGAAATGTCCATCCAATGGTCTGAACTTCCACAGCAAACTCCTTTTCAATATCTGGCAAGACCTTATTGATCTTCTTTACTGCAATGTGTGTGCCAAGCTGATCTTGTAGTGTCCCCTTGTAGACTACCCCAGAACCACCGCTACCAATTTCTTCACAGAACCCACCTGTTGCCTCGTGAAGCTCTTCATAAGTGAAAGATTTCAAAGGAAGTCCCCCGGTACTATATGATTGCTTTGGTGGATCTATCTTCTTGCTTTTCTTTGCAAAATAGTGTCCAAAAAGGATAAATGAGATAAGGAGGATCAACACCAACAAGAAGCTTCCAAGGAGGAGACAACTACCGAGGATCCAATACTTCTTGTCTTTCTTCCATTTGATGGAGCCAGTATTAATAATAGACAGGGAATTGTTGTTCTTGGGCACCTTCAGATAAAGTGTTCTATCAACACTACTGTCCATTCTTCCATTGGACATGGGGAGTTTCTTCTTCCAACAATTTCCTTCATTAAACACTGTCACAGCACAGAAGCAATCTGTCAAGCATAGTTTCTGGCAGTCATCCATGCCAACAGAGGTGAATGACTCATAGTCTGCACTTGGCCAATCTATGCCTTTCATTGGGATCAAATCAAATTCATCAATCATGGTTGCCTCATCCAAATCACAGCTTTGTTGTTGGAAGTTTGCTTTGCATCCTTTGTACTTCCGTGCCTCATCTATGAACGAGTAATGTGGTGGACATTGGCATTCCACTGTCTCGTTCTGGTTCCAGTTGAAGCTGCAATAGCTGTTGAACCCGCATGCACCACTTCCATCTGAGGTAGTGAAGACATCACATATGTTCCTGGGGATGAAGTCCACAGCAGTCCAACCTATGTACTTCCACCCTCTGGTTACTGCCTCCTTCTTTGGGTACACATATTGACGGAACACACCATCTGGGTCTAGGGTTGCACGCTGGTAGTAGTTCACCATTGAACCCATGATGGTAGATGTGATAGTAATTTCAGTGCCATCCTTCAAGGTGAAGTAGACCCCTCCAGTTTCATTGAACAGAAGCTGTGAGCCATTTCCACCAGTGTTGGGGGTCAAGTATGAACGATACTTGTTTCCTGAGGGAACAGCAACTAGATCAAATTCAAGGTTTCCATCTTTCACTTGAAGTAGAAATCGGCCATTAGAGTAGTCTGCTTGTGTCAGCCTACTGTAGAGTTGAACTTCAGAAAATGGCCCTTGTGTGGGCAGGATGGTGTCCGCTGGGCTATCAAAGGTTCCCCACTTTGTAGAGCCATCTGCACCAAGAAGCACAAAATTTCCAGTATCAAGCATGTTGGCATAAGCTGCACCAGGGACTTGGGGGTTCCAAAGCTCATGGCCACCAGGGTCAAGGAGTGACAGACCATTAGAGCTAAGCTGAAGTCGAGAACCAGAAGGCACCAATACTACCTCTGGTACTTGTGTGTTGGTCTTAGCGTACCATGCCATGCTTTTGTTGACAGTCTTGTCGAACCAGACGGCAAGGAGGTAAGTGTTGGTGCTGATGAGTTGGAAGCCGAATGCAAAATCACCGGAGGGTGAAATCCACGATGTGTTCACGCCTTCGGTGGTCAGCAACGAGCCCAGGGTGATGTTTCGAGCTTTAGAGGGAGCTATTGTGAACACTAGGAGGAGGACGAGGAGGGTGAGGAGAGGTTCCATCATTTTTGCGATGGTATGTGTTCATGAAACAGCTTTGTGTGCTGCCGCAGCTATATCATGGCAGGGATCAGGGGTCTGCTTGACTTGGAACACTGAAGTGACGACTTGCAAAGACCAGTAGTGGGTTCCTCCACCACCAAAGGAGAAGGCATATCTAATCTAGCTGTTGCAGCATTTATCATTGAACTAATAAGGACAGACAGCAAGGGCCTGCTTTGATTAGGGACGTTGATAAAGGGGGAGACTCTGAAAGTTCAGCAACTGAGCAAAGGGCTTAACTGATGACATAGGGTGAAAGCACATTGTTGTTCCTAAAGAACTTCATATTTTACTTGTACTTACAGAATGTGAAAATTTGAGAACTTGGCACCGCATTATCAAGTTGGTGACATATTGATTGACAGTCCTAAATTTTGTGAGAGAAAGCGTACTGTGTAGTATGAGTACTAGAATGTAGGAAGGAAATTCACGAAAACATATCTTTGCAAAAGGTAGATCTTCTCTTTTCAGTTTCAGATTTCATTATGAATTGCGTATTAGAATTTTTTTTTCAATGTTGTTATAGGCTGTGGAAGATTTACAATTTGAAGTCATCACTACTGTGTCCCTAGTAGCTTACTAGCTTGGATGATTTGGAACACAATAACACGAGGTTTTTGGTTTCTCTCTTGCTGTTCTTGTTGCAGGCCTTTTTTGCCTACTACTCCCAACTATAATGCATTGATGCTATATCCTTTTGTACATATCCTGACAGAAAATCATCTTCTACTTATGGTTTAATCATCTAAAGAAGTAAAGTGTTTCCCCACACCGAAAATGGAAATAAATCCAACTGGACAGAGTGTTCTGGCAATCTGTTTGACGGCTTCTTCTTCTGGTGAACGCAGGTCAAGTCTCCGTCTAGATTGCCACTTGCCACTGGACATGCTGATACAGTCATACAGATTTCAGTCAGTCAGTTACCTACCGAGCTAATGAGGTGAGTGGTTTGAATGCATCTGTTTATAGAGGAGATATTGCAACAGCAACATCACACCAGCTGACCAGCGAGCAATCGACAAGTGTGCAATGGTGCGTGAAGTGGTCAACAAGCGGGGAAAGGAGCAAATCCTTTGTGACTAAATTTAAATGGAATATTGACCGATTTCATATCGAAGGGATATCTGTTCGTTTTTGAAACGGCAAATCAAACAAGAGGCTGTTTTGAATCAAAGCGGAAAAAAATGGTGCATGCAGCATTGCCACACCGAAATGTCTTGTGTCCAGTGTTAGGGATGGTGGTGATGCAGCGGGGGTCGACGAGGGCAGCGACTTGGCGCCGGCAGCGCTGACATGGACTTATCTCCTAAAATGGTACTAGGAAAAGTATTGTTTGTGGTCATCTACATATTCAGTTCTGTTTTACCATGTTCAGGTCAAAGCTAGAGAGCTGCTTGTCATTTTATTTTCAATGAACTTATTCGCAGTTGTTTTTCCTCCATTGTCATTTTCAGAAGAAGGCAGTCGACTTGCGCTGGACTGGTGCTGAGTCATATGGGAGACTCACTGAACGTAGTGTGCAATGCAATTGTCAAGCTGACAAGGAGTAGGTCCCAAATTCATTAGCCTGTTGCCTATGGAAATGGTCAGAATGACGACCTGTATGTAGCAAACTTGAAAGATGAAGTCAAGCCGTAACTTGCCAAAGCACATGGGTCAAATCACCAAAAAAAAAAAGTACTGCCCTGAACTGGAGCAACTGTCCATTGACTGACCCATCGTGTTGCTGTTCTGTCTGATCCATTGAGCAGTGAACACGGCTGTCATCTTTTCTTCTCACGGCCGACAGGGTTTGTTGTAACTTGCATTATGCTGTCATGTTATCTGCTAATAACTCTGTGTGCTTCGGCTTAATCTTTGTGGGCTCACGCCCCGTCTCCCCGGGCCTCGGTTGGGATGATGGCCCTCAATCTGATCTGGGCCACTTCTCTGCCCATCTCAACTCATCCAAACAGGCCGCGGCTTTGGTTCTTCTCCTCGTCGTCGCGTCTCTCCAGTTCATGGCGTCGCTGTCACTGGGCGTGACCAGAGAGCATTCGGGCGCATTGTTCTGGGAGAATATTCAGAGATAATAGTAGATGGCCTGTGCATGATCCTGACGCTGCCGGCCGGTTCGATTTCACAGTCCAAATGGCAGCCGCAGATAAGCTCCCTGGCTACTGAGGGAAATATCCAACGCATTAGGAACAAAGAAACGAGGATCCAGTGAAGTGAGTACTCTGCACTGAAGTCTGAACCTGCTCCAGTTTCAAATAAAGATTCAGTAAGAGTGAGGACTGGTGTTTTCTTCTTTTCTTTTCTTTCCTTTTTTTTTTTTGGATATTAAGCAGTGACTGGTTGCAGGCAATCTCATGTTTTTTTTTTTAGTTTTTCTTTTGATGCAGGCAAGCTCATGTTATTAGCCAATAAGTTCACACGCAACCTGCCAAATGAAGCTACTCTTCTATATTTTCTTTCTGCTGGGTCTCTGTCATGGTGGTCAGTGGTCTCACCACTGTGCATCGCTATTTCACACAAGCACGGTGGCAAAATAATGTCGTTGTTGACATCTTATCAAGCATGGGTCTTTATATGGGGATGCTAATTGCTAAGTTGAGCATCCTTGCACAGCCATATGTCTCTCTTTCAGCCTCTGGGTCACACACACATACTCCCCATGGCAGCTGCAGGGGAAGTGGTGATGCTTGGTGGCATTCTCCTCCCTCTCCTCCTGGTTGTCGCCGTCTCCGGTGAGCCGCCGCCGATCAGCCGGAGGAGCTTCCCCGAGGGGTTCATCTTCGGGACGGCCTCGTCGTCGTATCAGGTTAAGCTTCCACTTCCCTTCCAATCCTACAGTTCGATTGGTACCGAACTCAGTTCTCTACTTCTCTCAAGAACATTTGTTACAAGTTGCAAAAGGCTCTCTCTCTCTCTCAATCTACAGATATGATAGATGTACAACACTAAAATGACAGACACAATATTTTCTATTGAATAATGCCAAAATTGTCAGGAATGTATGGCCTGATCTAATAGGCATTGGGTGCCAATTGTGTCTTTGTTTTGGTCTGAAATCTGAAGAATTGGCCGTTGCTTCACACATGCAGTATGAGGGTGGCGCCAGAGAGGGGGGCAGAGGACCAAGCATCTGGGACACATTCACACACCAGCACCCAGGCATGTTAATTACATCTCCCGTTTGCCTCCGCCTTCCATGCTACACATCAATACAGTTTTGTGTTAGTCAAGCTTAACTAAGTATGATTTATATGTTGACAAAAAAAATTAATCATAATTAGCAACATCTCTACTTCAATCAACGATACCCTGCATATACATATGGTATTGTAGAAGATGTGCGTCTGGCTGTGTGATCATGTTTTTTGCTTTCCAGGTTGGTTGGTTTTATTTATAGTTAGACGATCTGATTATCTAAAATGGAATCATTATCTGTTATTGATCGTGGCGATTCATGGGGAGGTTGTGTGGAAGATTTTGCTCTTCCTAATAGTTCAGTGGGTATCTTGAACTAGTAGTCCAATCATGTCTTTTTTTAAAAAAAACAATCATAACCCAATTAAGATGATTGATCAAGCAGTCACTATCGTCTCCAAGACCTTTCATCCACACATTTGTTATTGCATTCAATTAGCAAAACAAGCTTTGAATTCTTGACCTATTGTACACAATAGTCCAAAAGGGCAAATGAAGAAACTTGAGCGTATGATTGATATAAATGACAAGAAACAACAGACAAGGACACATCCTCTTTTTATTGACAATTCTCTGGTTTGACAGATAAGATTGCTGACAAAAGCAATGGGGACGTGGCTGCAGACTCCTACCATCTATACAAGGTATAGAAATTAGCCTTTTTCAAGTAGCAGCTTATGGTTTTTTTAATTGATTTTTTTTTGTAAGGGTTATGCTCCAATTAAAATATACTCTAAATTGTGTTAGGTTGTTCTACTCCCTCTAGGAGAGTAGGAGATAATCTCTTCACATTTTAATTCCAACCTTCTTTCGGAAAAAATAATTTACTACTTATCCAGAGGAACTTGCAAAACCAATGCAGGAAGATGTGCGCATCATGAAGGATATGGGAGTGGATGCATATAGGTTCTCCATCTCATGGACAAGAATTCTTCCAAGTGTGTGGCTATATCTTCCAGACCTGATGCAATGCACTGTCAAACGCATATAGAAAGATAACTTTAACTCATCTGAAGTTGATCTCATTTTTATTCTGAAGTATAAGAATTTGCATATCTTTCTGACTACAAGTTGATCCCTGGAGAGACATTAAAATCTCACTTGTCATGGCAGATGGAAGTCTGAGCGGTGGAATCAACAGAGAAGGCATCAGCTACTACAACAATTTGATCAATGAACTATTACTGAAAGGTATGCAACTCTTCAGTGGTTTTATCTAAAAAGAAGTGTTCAGTGTTAAGTTTCCAGTTCAGTTCAGTGGCTACATGCAATATGTGTGGACCATTGGATATTTTTTTTCAAGATGCATAATAGTCTTACACTTGCAGGGGTGCAACCATTTGTTACCCTTTTCCACTGGGACTCGCCACAGGCATTAGAAGATAAATATAATGGATTTCTTAGCCCTAATATCATGTGAGTCCACAATTCTTCAGTACCTTTTTCTTGTTAAATAAATCACTAGTTAAACATGGATTAATTGAATTGGAAACTGTTCAAGTTTGTAAGATAGAGATGTTATTGTACCAAAAATCAAATACGCGCTGACTTCACCCAAAATAATACCTTCCTGTATCTTTTCAGCTAAAACATCTAAAGTTACTGCGAAAAAGAAGGTGCTAAAATTACTGACTGAAAAATCGTTGCAGAAATGACTATAAGGAGTACGCTGAAACCTGCTTCAAAGAGTTTGGTGACAGAGTGAAACATTGGATCACCTTCAATGAGCCTTTGAGCTTCTGTGTTGCGGGATATGCATCAGGTGGCATGTTTGCACCAGGCCGCTGTTCGCCTTGGGAGGGAAATTGCAGTGCTGGCGATTCAGGAAGGGAGCCTTACACCGCATGCCATCATCAACTACTTGCTCATGCGGAAACTGTTCGGTTGTACAAAGAGAAATATCAGGTCACCAAAAGAATCCGTTTAGCACTTGCAAATCATCCGTGATAATGATTTTGATAGTCCAAAATGTTTTTCTTGCTTGTCATTTAGTTTCAGTGCTGTCCTGGTAGTAGATTTGTTAGTAGAGCTCTTAGCCAATTACTTTAGGAACCGCAGCTAGCTATTCTAGACATCGAATATAACGACTAGGTTATTACATATACATGTGGATAGACTAATGTATGTCTTTTATTAAAAAAAAAAACTCATGCAATTTACTACTCATAATAATATATTGTAAACCTTATAAATTGATATTTGAATCCGAATGTAATGTTTGTAGATATGTTTTAGTTCTAATTAATATGGAATGAAAAACACCCTGACTGTACATGCACATCGAACTCAAGAAGTACTTCATGCAAGAAAAGAAAACACAGAACACTTAGTAGAATATATGTAATGTTTGCAAAATCAAAGATTTGGGTTCAACATACAGACATCCTTGCGGTTGATCAATAAAATGCTTGTCAAATTCAGGTCTTACAAAAGGGGAAGATTGGAATAACTTTGGTCTCGAACTGGTTTGTTCCCTTCTCCCGCTCCAAATCCAACATCGATGCTGCAAGGCGTGCTTTAGACTTCATGCTTGGATGGTAAATTCTCTGCCACACATAATTTGAACATTCATGTCTAAACCAGGCAGAAGGCACAAACTATGAATTCCCTTTGTAGGTTTATGGATCCCCTAATTAGAGGCGAGTACCCCCTAAGCATGAGAGAATTGGTTCGGAATCGCTTGCCTCAGTTCACTAAAGAACAATCTGAGTTGATCAAGGGTTCATTCGATTTTATTGGACTTAATTACTACACTTCAAATTATGCTGGTAGCCTTCCTCCATCAAATGGCCTCAATAACAGCTATAGTACTGATGCTCGAGCTAATCTTACTGGTGAGTCAAAAAAAGTAATGAATTTGTCGTTCTGTTTTAAATTCGCATTTCACAGTGTTTGCAACCGTGAAATACAATCATATGACAACTTTCTGGCACAAAATATACTTAAAACTGTAGCATAAGCATTTAGCCAGCTCATATCATGGTCTCTGTTGCATTTTTCAATTATCCTTTTTGTTTCAAAAGGGTTCATCAAATTTCCTCCCTATAAATATCCATGCTCTTTCATGCATGAATGAAATGAAAGTAATGCACAAAGATAAGTAAGTATAGGTAATCTAGTAATTTTCAGTACGTTTTTAATTAGTTTGTGCACAAGGAAACAATACACACTAAATGCATTATCAAATACTATGTACTCCCCAACATTATTGCCTCATCAATATATGCTAACCTTGTCTGATTATGCCAGCTGTTCGAAACGGCATTCCCATAGGTCCTCAGGTAACTCCATACTTTGTCCTCCACACAAAATGAATTAACAGCTAAATAATTCACGTGAGATATTGAATTCTGTAAATGACATGTATGTAGGCTGCTTCGCCTTGGCTTTACATCTATCCTCAAGGGTTCCGTGAATTGGTGCTTTATGTTAAGGAAAACTATGGCAATCCTACCATCTACATCACCGAAAATGGTAAGTGCTACTGTGCTAGTCAATATGTTATCCAGTGTTTAGTGTGTAACTGATACTACTATTACACCTTCCGACATTGCAATGAATTAAGTCAACAATACAGTAAAAACACATTTGAATCAATTATATTTTCCTCTCCTGGCTATTTGAAGAGGGGGGAATATCTCCTTTCCTAAGAGTTAATGAATCTTATTGATTTTCTTTCTCTTTTTTTTTTTGGTGTCTTAAGGTGTTGATGAATTCAACAATAAGACCTTACCACTCCAGGAAGCCTTGAAGGATGACACTAGAATAGATTACTACCACAAGCACCTCCTTTCACTGCTAAGTGCAATAAGGTATGAACTTCGAGCATATCATACACTCATCTTTGAGTAAGAGTACTTCAGATGTTAGTTGACAGTGCATTACTCCATATGAATTTCTAGGGACGGAGCAAATGTGAAGGGATACTTTGCATGGTCGCTGCTTGATAACTTCGAGTGGTCGAACGGCTATACTGTTCGCTTTGGGATAAACTTTGTGGATTACAATGACGGAGCGAAGAGATACCCCAAAATGTCTGCCCATTGGTTCAAGGAGTTCCTCCAGAAATGATGAAAATAAAAGCGTGTGAAGAGTTGCACACATTGCTCTTCCCATTTTGAACAGCAAAGAGCATATATGTTACAACAGATGGAGGTATTGCAAGTTTGCAACTAAATAAATCTCTGTCTTCACTCTCTGCGTATAGCTAGCTAAGCGATGGATAGAGAGTTACATCTTCTCTTACGCATATTTCAAAAAATTTAAGAGGTTGTAGTAACTTCTTCATCATATTTTGGAGATGCGATCATAGCACAGTGGCAGAGGTTGCTGGCATGCACCGTCCACGCAGGTTCGATTCTCCTTGAGCACGGCTCACCAAGAATATTTTGTCTTCTCTTCTTAAAATCGTTCCTTGGTATCCACTTCTTCCGACACTATTATAAGTTTGTAGAAAAAAATCGTAACATTTTCAACCTAAGATAAATTTATTATGAAAATATATTCAATTATTGATTTGATGAAACTAATTTAGTATTATAAATATTACTATATTTGTCTATAAACTTAGTTAAACTTGAAACCGTTTGACTTTGACCAAAGTTAAAACGGCTAACAACTTAAAATGTAGGGAGTAATTAAGAGTAGCAAAAACTTATTGTTTGGTTGATAGTCACATGGCTGAAACCTGTAATCTGGACGGATGAATCTCCTCTCCGTGGTACCATCCTAGTATCCTCTTACCAGTCACTCAAAGTTATACACAATACTATAGGAAAAATCTGCTTCCAATTTGGACCGGTTCAACCGCACTACCCCTCCGTTTAAAAAAACGAATCTAGAACTGAATATGACACATTGTAGTATCATAAATTTAGACAGAGGTATATCCAGATTCGTACTAGATTATTTTTTATAGGATGAAGGGAGTACGCGTCATGACCCACTTATATATAATACTTCCTCCGTCTCATAGAGGAAGTACTAGGAACTCGTTGCAGTTGGCTCCACGTCGCTCTCACACCGTCACACGCTACGTACGTACATACGCGACCCCGCCGTCCCCGACGCCGCTCAAAGATCACACGCACCGACACACATACTACCAGTATGCTATGCCACCACCACACAAACCAAGCACAAGCACTGCCGCGCGCGTCCTCTCCTTGACGACCTCCTGCCTCCTGCGATCCTCATCATCATGGCGCGCGCGCGGCATCTCTCCTCCTCCACACGTACGTACGCTGCCCGCCGATTGTACAGCCGACGGCAAGGCAAGCTCACGTGACCGATCGATCGAATACAGCCGACGGCAAGTTAATCAGTTAGAGCAGCGCGTGCTGCATGCGCTATGCTCACGTGGGCTTAGGTGGTGTTTGGATAGTCCCTATCGTTTTGGATGAATTTGGAGTATTAAACATAAATTACTTATAAAACTAATTACATAAATGAGAGCTAATTCGTGTGACAAAATTTTTAAGCCTAATTAATCTATAATTAGCATATGTTTATTGTAGCATCACATAAGCTAATCATGAATTAATTAGGCTCAATAGATACATCTTACGAATTAGTTCAAGATTATGGATATGTTTTATTAATAGTCTACGTTTAATATTTATAATTAGTGTCCAAACATCCGATGTGATAGGGACTGTAAAGTTAAAGTTAGTTTTAGTATGATCTAAATGGGGTCTTACCTTAGGTAGGCCAAAGCATGGCAGCGCGTGCAGTGTTTGAAGATGAGGTAGCAGATCTCAGGCCATATCACACGGCGATCCCACCATGTACGTACGCACGTACCCCCTCTCCGTGGTATGGTATGACAATTATATTGGATCGATAGAATGATCCGGCTTTTTGGAGAAAGCCCATACAGAGTAGTTCGAAAAAGAAAAAAAAAAACAAAAACTCAACACCCACACATCAAGCTTTTTGAAGTCTACAAGACTCCAGAAAAAACACACCATGACAGAGGTCACAACGTGAGCAAAGAAGAAAGCACCAGCAGTTGATGAGCACGCGCGTTGATTAATTTGGGTGCATTCAGTGGTTCAGACATCAGATGGAGGCGCATGGTTAATTGGGGCCGTCCATAGGGATGTTCGAGCTGAACGTTTAATTAGCGGTCCTAATTTTTTTTATGAGATTTGCTTCGATCTAATAAAAAATATTTTAAGGTACTATTTTACTGGAATGGAGTAAATCTTTTTTTATTATTTTTTAAACACATGACTACATATAAGCTTCTTGCTACCAACTTTTATTGTGGTTCTATTTGGGGATGAAAACGGATTGAATATTTTTTTTCTTAACGACAAGTACATATAATAATTTGAGTATTTGAAGAATATTTACTATGCAGATATCCGCTATAACGGTCAAAGGCGTGAAGTATACTTTGCCCTTGTTTAGTTTTCAACTTTTTCTTCAAACCTTTAACTTTTTCATCACATATATACTACTCTTAATTACCTTGTTTTGAGAAATATTTAATTCCATTTGTATCCAATCATATATTCTACTCTTAATTACTTTGTATTCGAGATAATTTGTATCTGTTTCCTATATTTGAGGTTTTCGTTTACGGAAAAATATGAATAAAAACAGATACGACGATAGAAACATTATCAGTCCAGATCCACTCTGTTTTCATTTATTTATTAATCTGATGGCTACTAACTGAATCAAGCAACGCATTTTGAACAACGAGCAAAGAGATCTTATCAATGTGCCATCCGATCCTGTGGGCGATCCAGGCCGATACTCTTGCACGTTTTCTTTTGTTAAATTAGTGAGATCTTTATCAACGTCAATGGTTTCATGAACACACAGAAACGGCAAGTTGCAAGCGTTTAGAGGCTGTTTGGATACTTGTTTCAGTATACCAAACTTCCGTAGCTAAAGTGTGGCATGCCATAATTTATAATTTATGTAGCTAAGAAATTCTTGGCCATAAATTAGGCAAATATTGGCAAAGATACGTGACTATGACAAGTGGGATCACAAAATAAAAAGTGTGGCATGATAAAGATGTGGCAAGCAAGCGAACACTAAGATTAAGTTGGTTAAAGTAGCTTATCAAAGTTATAATAAAATATGGTCACCATCTAAATAACTTCTAAGGCTCCGTCGGTGGATCACCGAAGTGGATATGTACTGTACAAGAAAGCTTCGTAGTTCAAACGGCCACCACACGTTAATTTGCTACATACATCGATGACAAAATGCCGATCGATCGATCGGCTACAGTAAGTTAATGGGTGACGCATACTTTCGGTTGGAAAATTTAAGATTTAATAGGTAATTATATATGGGGTATTCGTAATGGATTTTCTAACTTCTGATTTCTAAATTATTTTTTAAATTGCATAGCTACAAATTGTTAGAATTTAAGTCAGAATTTCGAAAAAATGAAGTTTGTGAGAGAAGCTGTGGTGGCTAGAAGCATCCTCAATAGCCAAATACTTCCTCCTTTTCATAATGTAAGTCATTTTAGCATTTCCCAGATTCATATATTGATGTAATGAATCTAGATAGCACTATCTAGATAGCAAATGTGCTATCTAGATTCATTACATCAATATTGTCAACGTTTGATGTCGCGATTCCGGTATTTGCATGGTACGGGGATCGTTGGTACTAGGATATACGCGAGACTGGGGTAAAAGAGACGGAGGCGAGGATTTTTATACAGGTTCGGGCCCCTGAATTGTCAGGTAATAACCCTACATCCTGTTGGCCGAAGCCGGTCGTTGCTCTTATTCATCATAATCACACCAGTACAATATTTGGGGTAGCCTATCTAACTGTTGTCGACATGGTGGTCTGAAGGTCTGACTCGTAGTCGACAACAGGGTAGTCTTCCTCCTCGAGTTTGTGCTCGGCGAGATCAGAGACAACGCAATGTCTCTCCTATCAGTATCCGGAGACACCGTAGGGGACTAGCCGTGCCTATCTCTGAAGTCGATATCCGGCGTCTTGTCTTGGCGTATGTTGGCTTCTATGTTGATCTTCTGTCTTGATCTATTGTTCCGTGTATGTTGATTGTGGTGGGTGTGTATATGTCTTGTCCCCTCTCCTCCTAGAGGGGCCTTATATTTATACCCATAGGTGTCCCCTTGTCCAAGTAGGATTAGGGAAACCAATATGGATATAATCCGAGTAGTCCTTGTCGTTTCCATGTAGAACTCTGGTTGTCTTTCCTTATCCGGAACTCCTCCTATATCCGCAGGTTGTTTCCGTATATGACATGGTATGTGGTGGGTTCTGCCGAGATTTAGTCAACTACTATTAGTTATGTGGTATCCATAACCCTGACAAATATGAATGTGGGAAATGAATCTAGATAGCAAATGTGCTATCCAGATTCATTACATCATTATAAATGTGGGAAATGTTAAAATGATTTACATTGTGGAATGGAGGGAGTAGGACCCATAGAAACGGTGTGCTCTGGCAGTGGCAGATCAGATCACACGGGCCAAACGCATACACACTGTCAGGCCCAGAAATTCCCGAATAGAATTCCAAGCAGAATGTGCATTAAAATCCCCGTCCAGGACCGGCCGGGGTATACAAACGACAATGTTGACATTCAGATCCACGTCTTACAAACATCATAAAAGTCTTACATAAATGCAGCGGAAAAACGAAAGATAACAGGAGCTAAGCCTTGACTTGAACTGCAGCGGGAACACCACTCCACAGGCATCCTCGATGGCACGGACGAAGCCTACTCCTCGGAGAAACCACCATCGGACACACACTCATATTCTGGGTTGGGGAAAATAGAGCAAGACTGAGTGCTACCCACTGTACTCAGCAAGTCATACCAGGATAGGGGTATGATGCAGGGATTTATCAAAGGAGAGCTAGAGTGGTTCATCTGCATAAAGTGGGCATTTAAAAACAGAGGTTGAAAGAAGTAAACGGTTGTAATAATTAATCAATATTAATTATCCACTGTCCAACGCTATCCCACGTTGCAACAGACCCAACCATCCACCTAAACTATCCAATTTCATTAGACTACACTAGGGTGAAACTAATCACGGTGAATTTGGTTGACCGCCCATAACTGCGGGCACGGCTATTCGAATAGTTTTACTCTGATCAGAGGTGTACAACTGTACCCACAAGACACAGCCCCACGACACGTTTCCGTGCGCCGACATGCCACCACGACATACCGGAAAGAGGCCGTGACAGGATCCTTCGCATAACCCCCTTTAGCCAAGCACACCACACCTCAGGTTTCACCCCCGTCCCCAGCGGGCGACGGGCAGTCCCCTCTCGTGCCTAGGTGAATCCGGAAGCCGCATAGGCCGTCACAGGGCCCATCCAAACTCCATCACGCCCACCCTTGCCTGGATGCGTCAGCTAAAGAAAAGCTACACTACAAGCCCAGCCGTTGCCCACGCTGGCTTGTGGTAAGTACGAGGAATTCTTCCAGGGTTTCCCGCGAACCGGTCCTTAATTGCCATGGGTGCGACTAGCAAAACCATGCACCCACAGCCCACCATGTGATTCATTTTAATTAATCAACACCAAAGCGGTGGTACTAATCCAACATTACCATTAGAACCTACAGTCTATACTTTAATAGGATTTTTTCCCTAATGTGTGCTAGTTGGACTAAGCATGGCTAAGCAATTCCTAGTCCTAAGTCTATTCATGTTATAACCCAAGCTAAAAAAGGAGCATGGTATCAAAATAGCATGGCTGTAACAATAGGTAAACATCCCATAGTATTATTGCAAAACAATGCAGTATTTGAAAGAAAACATTAGAACATTTACAATATAGAATCAACATGATCAAGTGACAGGCATGACTTGCCTTGCTCTGCAGCTGGAGGAACCTCGGCGACTATCTCGAAGTACACCGGAGCGTCGGAAGAATCGGAATCTAAGCGACAACCAAAGCAAACAATACAAACAGGCTATAAGACTACTGAAACAGAGAACAAAACCATTTTTAATGGATTCTACACATTTTTCTTGATTTACTGAGACTTGAATGGGCTTAAACGGAGCACGGATGAATTAGATATGAATTTTAGAAGAATCACTGTGTTTTTACTATAAACGGAAAAATCCTTAATTGATTTATTGCGCAATAAATAAATCCCGGAGAGAGAGGGGCGGCGCCGACAAGCGGGCCCCACATGGCAGCGGCGCACGGGTGGTCGGTCTACCGTGGACCGGGACCACGCGGGTGGTCCACCGCCGGTCCACGGGATCGACGGCCCGGATTGGCCCGGGGCCGATCGGACAGTGCGGCGGCGGCCTGGCTTGGCTCGGCTCGGCACAAAGCCGGCCGGCCGGCCATGGGGGGCGCGGCGGCGGCGCACGCGACCACCGGCGACGGCAAGCGGCGGCGCGAGCGGCGGCAGCGGACGGCGCCCCGGCGGCGGCGACAACCAAAAGCGGCGGCGAGCGCGGGTGGCGGCGGTGCACGGGGAAGGAAAGGAAAGGGGAGGGAGTCCTCACCGGAGGGGGCGGCGACGACCGGCGACGAGGAGCGACAGAGGGAGGTCGACAAGCGGCGGACGGGGTCCGGGACGACCTAAAGAACGAAAAGGAAAAGATTAGAGAGGGAGAGAGGGGCCATAGAAGGCGAGAACGCCGGCCGAAGGCGGCGGACATGGCGGCTCTCACCGGCGCACGGCGGGAATGGCGCTCCGGCGGCGAACCTCGACGGAGGAGGGGCGGACGGGGTGGACCTTGGCCACGCGAACCCGACGGCGGCGACGGCGCGATGCGGCGGCGAGCCTAGCGGCGGCTAGAGGCGGCCGGAGTGGCGGGAAAGGCGGCGGCGGGTGGGTGCACGGCGCGGGAGCGATGGGGAGCACGAGAGAGTTCGGCGAAATGGGAAAAAAGAGAGAGGGGGTGGCGGCGGAGCTTAAATAGGGAGAGAGGGGGCCGGACGTGGCCGGGAGAGGCGGGAATCGCCGGCCGAAGTGGGGGAGTGGGAGAGGAGAGAGAGGCGGGATTCGAAAATCGAATCCCGGCCGTCTCGGGAGCGCGGGCGAGCGGGAGAGAGGGGGAAGTGGGCACGGGAGGCGCGGGCGCGAGGGCGACGTGGACGACATGGCCCGGGAGGCGCGGGCGTGAGGTGCGGCGGCGGTTGCGGGCGCGGCGGCGAGCGGCTGGAGGTTGGGGGAGGACCCGACAGGTGGGCCCCACCTGTCGGTGACCCCGGGAGAGAGGAGGGGGCGCGGGCTGAGCTGGGCCGTGGCCACCGGCCGGCCCAGCAAGGCGCGGGGAGAGAGGAGGGGGAATGGGCCGGCGGCCCACTAGGGGAAAAGGAAAAATAAAAAAAAAGAAAAACGAAGAAAGGAATTTCTAGGGATTTAAATATTGCATGTGCTCAATTTTAATTGGTTAAAATTATTTCTAGAGCTCTGAAAATTCCACTAAAAATCTTGTTAGCGTATTTTGACATGTAGAACTCAAGAAAAATTCCACATGCCAATTCCGATTATTATTTACATTAATTTATTAAGGTTTACTCTTGCTTTACACTGGTATTTTCTTGAGTGGATTATAAATTCCATTTCAGGCTTGGGGAAAGAACTTTGGAGTGTGACACACACCCCTCGGCCCCTCCGTCTTGATATGAAACAACTAAGAAAGAAATTACGAGCATGTCCTGAACATTACCATGGAACCCCTGTAAGCACATATCGTCTCTTTGAACATTAGCACGTTGATTCAGGTGAAGTATGGTGGCGTTTGAATCTTTTGAAGATGAAGATTAAGTGTTTCGTGTAAAACGAGATGGTAATAACGTGTGATTAATTAAGTTTTAATTATTACAACTTTCATATAGACGAGGTAGTAATAACGTGTGAAAAATGAATTAATATGATATTTTAGAACAACTTTCATATAGAAAGTTTTCGCACGAAAAGTAGTATTGTTTAGCAGTTTGAAAAGCGTGCCACAAGTATCCAAAAGTTTATCCAACAAAACCAACTTTTGTTGGAGGAAAGAACAGGGCTATATATGTTCATATTTCAGAGATGGCAGCGCATGGGTGATCCCCAGCGGCACGGTCGGTCCGCTATATAGGGATGAAAACGATCGGAAATAGTCGGAAACGATACATTATTTTATTATTTTATTAAAAAAAGAACGGAAATGGTCGGAAAATTTCCATATTTATGAATTCATCTATTTAGTATTAACTTCAATGCCACACTGACAGAAATTAAAAAAAACTAAATTTTGAAAACGGTAACCATCGGTACAAATATTATTATTATTATATTAGTTTTGCGGAAACGGTATCGGTACGGTCGGGAAATTTCCATACCGTTTTCACCTGGGCGCTATATTTTGCCTTCCAAAATGGCTATACATGCTTCTGAGTGCTTATTGATAATTAATTATTCTTTCGATAGTAGGCGATGTACTCGTCAATAGCGATGCGTTCATGGTGATTTCGTCAATGTCAAGATGTTGATCTAATATTTTAGAGATACTAATAAAGGTAGATAATACGTGTGTGTTTATAAGGTGAGTATGTATTGTGAGCGTGTGACTTTGTACTATGTTTTTTTTTTAAAAAAAGATAAGCTTCCTGCTACCAACTTGCAGCATGGTTCCACCACTGTATGTCTGTATTAATCTGATGGCTCTGCATGCAACGCATCAGGAACAACAGACAAATAGAGCAAGTACTTGCTCTGAATGCATCGTGTCATCTTGTGGACGATTTAAAACTTAATTTGCATCCATATATGCATGTCTTCCGTGTAAATATCTGAATGTCATCATTTCATACAGTGAACACAAAACTGCAATCATATGTAGCTGAACCAGAACAAGTTACCAGCCGCAGCGACAGAGGCGAGAATCAACACCGACAGTCCGACACAAAACTGCAATCATATGCATTCCGCCCCCCCCTCCTCTCCTTGATCTATTTCTTCTCCCCTTTTTTGGGAGACAAAACAAACGACTAAATCAATGGGTATGTGTGCATGTAATCCATGGAGTATGCTAGTACTTAATTAACCAATAAGTTCACAAGTAGCCTACCAAATCAATTAAGGTTGATATATACCCCTTGTAAATGCTAGCTTCGTCCGCGTGCAACACGAGCATCTATAACAAAATACCAAGTCTTCTGCGTGTTTCTCTACTCTACTGGGTCTCTGTCAGACTGTCATGGTGGTTTCTCTACTCTACTGGGTCTCTGTCAAACTGTCATGGTGGTCATCGATCACTGTGTGTCTGCAGTGCCATCCAAATATCCACGCACAATCCTTGGCGTTTTTTTCCCCGTGATGGCCAAGTACACCAGCCGGAATGCCGAATTCATTAAGATAAGAGAAGATCAGACGGTACAAAACACAGTATCAACGTTCTGAGAACAACAGCTGTTTTGTTTGCCTGGTACCAGAACCCTGCGTTACATAATGTGAAAAAAAAACAAAAAAAACCCAGCTCCAAAGAATCCAGAAACAACCGTTAATGAGCAGTATTGCACATACAATACTATAGAGGATCTCGTCGCAAAACAAGCCCTTTGCTTCCTTCCATTACCGGTCACTTCTTCATTGTTATTGTTTGCCAAGTGCAATTTTCAGTAGTAGTATTCTTTACGCTACTGAAAATTCGTAGCCGTTGAAAATTTATTTTTTAAAACGGAATATTTCATTAAATAGGGAAAAAAGTACATCCCTAGAGGTAGTTGAAAATTCATTTTCATCCTTGAAATCGAGATGGCCGCTGTGTCCAGTTGTTGCCGTTGTCAACGTAACCATCGCTGTAATCCCGTAAACAATATATGGAAAATAGTACTCCCAGCAGTCATGAACCACCAATTTTATATTATGATAAGTTTATAAGATCTGGTAGGATTAGGATATTATGGTCCTACCGATAATTGACAAATTATTAATGATTCAAGTTTTAAAAATTCCATACAATCTTATCAGTTTTAAAACTTTGATAAAAATCTGATAAAAATCTTATCCTTAAATATTAAATATTTATTACCGAAAGGGAGTCCTCGTTTTACCACGAGAGAGCCTATATATGGGAGCAAGTTGAGCTACTTTGCACAGCCATCTCTCTATTTTTCCTTTTTCTGTCCATGGCGGCAGCAGGGGCAATGCCCGGTGGCCTTCTCCTCACGTTCCTCCTCCTTGCTGTCGTCGCTTCCGGCGCCTACAATGGCGCCGGCGAGCCGCCGGTCAGCCGGAGAAGCTTCCCCAAGGGGTTCATCTTCGGGACAGCCTCGTCGTCGTATCAGGTTAAGCTTCCACTTCCCTTCCACTCCTACAGCAAAGAAAGCTTCCAGTTCCATGCATATGTAACTGTGCAGAAGAAATTCAGTTCTCTCATGAACAAAAAGGAAAAGGAGCAAAACTACAAACAGATTTGTGCAACTTTTCTCCACCGAGAATACGTTGGTACAGATTCACACAGAAAGGCAATGCTACTGGGTAATGCTCAAATTGGCACCAAGGAATGAATCGGTTGCTAAAATTTTAACTGTCACACTGAGACATGTTTTTGTCTTGGTCTGAAATCTGAGGAATTGGCTGTTCTTGAGATGCAGTACGAGGGTGGCGCAGCGGAGGGCGGCAGAGGACCAAGCATCTGGGACACCTTCACACATCAGCACCCAGGCATGTTAATTGCATCTCTGCCTGCAAGCTGTGCTACGTACAGATTTGTTTTCTTTTCTTTTTTAGGATAACAAGTGCACATTCCCTAATTAAAAAAAATTGCATTCCCTAAAAGATAACAAGTGCAGACTTGTGTTAATCAACTTTAATTATGTGCATTCTATATACTCCATCCGTTTTTTAATAGATGACGCCGTTGACTTTTTCTCACATGGACCATTCGTCTTATTCAAAAATTTTATACAAATGTATAAGATATAAATCACATTTAAAGTACTATAAGTGATAAAATAACTCATAATAAAATAAATTATAATTACGTAAATTTTTTTAATAAGACAAATGGTCAAATATGTGAGAAAAAATCAACGGTGTCATCTATTAAAAAACGGAGGGAGTATATCTCAACAATAATGAAATCTGACCATATTTAGCAATCCCAGCCAGTAGAAGTTGCATGCATACACTACACATATGGTACCATAGCAATATCTGAAAAACAAATTACGCGCGATTATGTTCTGAGTATATTTTTTCCTGTTTGGTGGATTATCTATGCAACTAGACCATCCTATCTTTGCGAATGGTCCAATATTTTGCTGTGAGCAAGATTTTTGCTCTTCCTACGATAGCTCAGCGGGTATCTTCAATCTTGACCTAGTAATCCAATCACGTCGCTTTTCAAAAAATCATCATCACAATTCAGACGATTGGTCTAAACAGTCACCATCTTCTCGAATTGCTTTTCGTCCAAATATTATTTCCTGCGCGTGGTTTACAAAAGAGGCCGTTGATATTCTTGTCCTACCTGGGATGTAATGTACTGAATAGTCTAAAGGGAAATGTAGAAATCAGGGGTAACTTAAGCACATGATTGATGTGAAATGATAAGAAATCAATGGACAAGGACAACATTTTTGGATTGACGATTATCTGATTTGGCAGAGAAAATCGCCGACAGAAGCAACGGGGATGTGGCTTCGGATTCCTACCATCTCTACAAGGTATATTAGCAGTTAGTACATTTTTCAAGTAGCAAACATGCATTTCTAATTGATTTTTCGTAATGATTGTAACTAAAAGTATACTCTGAGTCTTTAGTCAAAAAAAAAAAAGTATACTCTGAGTCGTGTTAGATTGTTCTACTACAGCTAGGAGATATTGCCTATCACAATCTCTTCAAATTCTATTCTAAACTTCTTTTAAAAAAACAATTTAGTACTTATCCAGAGGTACTTGTGAAAAATAATGCAGGAAGATGTGCGCCTCATGAAGGATATGGGAATGGATGCATACAGGTTCTCCATCTCATGGACAAGAATCCTTCCAAGTGAGTGGCCATATCTTCCGACCTTCTACTTATTTCAAACCTGATACAATGCACTATCACAGAACTATCAGCAGACAGCTCTGGCTTATCTGAAGCTGATCAGCCTTTTTGTTCTGAAGTAGTACAATAATTTGCACATTGGTCATACTCCAAGTTGATGGCACCAAACATTGAAAATTCACTGTCATGGCAGATGGAAGTCTGAGGGGTGGAGTCAACAAAGAAGGCATAAAGTACTACAATAATTTGATCAATGAGCTATTATCGAAAGGTACGCATTTTCCAGTCTACAGTGTTTAGTTCCAAGTTCAGTGGCTAGATGCAAATTAGTTCCACTCCAGAAGTCCAGATATTCTTTTATTCAAGATGCAAATAACCTTATACATTTGCAGGGGTGCAACCGTTTATTACCCTTTTCCACTGGGACTCACCTCAGGCGTTGGAAGATAAATATAATGGATTTCTTAGCCCTAATATCATGTATGTCAACAATTCTTCTGCTTCAATACATCACTAGTTATACCTTGATAGGTTGAAATGGAAACTGGTCAGGTTAATAAACAGACTCAGTAAGATAGGAGAGTGAAATTTAAACTAAATGTGACAACATCAATTAACCTGACCATCACTGTGCATACCCATTAAACTGCCGAAGACTCCTATTTCAATTTCATTGGCTTTTGGAGCTTTCTCCTCAATTTCCTTGTGAATAACACTAATTGAAGGTAAGTTGGGATGTGTTTTTCTTTCGACAGCATTAAACCCCTTTATTGGCACTTACGCCACCCACAGTAGTACTCTCTTCCTATACTATTTTCAGCTAAAATGTCAAGAGTTGCCTACAGTGAAAATTTTCTTATGTTTACTGTTTGTGAAAAACTGTTGCAGAAATGACTTTAAGGACTATGCTGAAATCTGCTTCAAGGAGTTTGGTGACAGAGTGAAAAATTGGATCACCTTCAATGAGCCTTGGACTTTCTGCTCTAATGGCTATGCAACTGGCCTGTTTGCACCAGGCCGTTGTTCGCCCTGGGAGAAGGGAAATTGCAGTGTTGGAGATTCAGGAAGGGAGCCTTACACTGCATGCCATCATCAACTACTTGCCCACGCGGAAACTGTTCGGTTGTACAAAGCGAAATATCAGGTCACTGAAGAATCCCTTTGAGCACTTGCAATTCATCCATGACAATGAGTTAAATCAAAGATCTGCAAATTTGGTTTTGATAATCCATGCTTAGCATTTAGTTCCAGTTCGGTCCTGGTGGTAGAATTTGTTAGTACATCCATTAGCAAATTACTTTAGTAACTTCAGCTATCTGTTTAAAATATCACATATCATGGATTGGATTCCTATCATATCAACAGACATGTGCATATACTAGTTACTTTCAAAAAGAATGATTTTACTGTCCTTACGGATCGAATACTAATACATTTAAACCTTATCAATTAAATACCTGAATCTGAAGATGATCTTTGTAGAAAGAGTGATTTTACAGTCCTTGAGTGATGCCAGGTGGTACCACATTTTATAATGTAAGAGGTACCAAAATTTATACCAGAAAATGTAGTACCTCAGGACCGTAAAAATTTCTCTTGTAGATATGTATTACTTGTTAATTATAGTCCTATGGAACGAGAAAAGCTCTGGCTGCAAGAGAAAGAAAGCAGAACAACTAGAATACATTGCCAAATCAAAGGATTGGAGTTCAGCATTTACACAACCACTCACTTGAACAATGAAATCCTTCATAAATGCAGGCCTTACAAAAAGGGAAGATTGGAATAACTCTGGTCTCGCACTGGTTTGTTCCCTTCTCCCGCTCCAAATCCAACGATGATGCTGCAAAGCGTGCTATAGACTTCATGTTTGGATGGTAAATTCTGTCACACATTATTTCATCATTGAAGTTGTTAAAACATGAAAGAAGTCTTCAACAATGAATTTCCCTTCTAGGTTTATGGATCCCCTCATTAGAGGCGACTACCCCCTAAGCATGAGAGGATTGGTTGGGAATCGCTTGCCACAGTTCACTAAAGAACAGTCTAAGTTGGTCAAGGGTGCATTTGACTTTATTGGACTTAACTACTACACTGCGAACTATGCTGATAACCTTCCTCCATCAAATGGCCTTAACAACAGCTATACCACCGATTCTCGAGCTAATCTTACCGGTGAGTCAATATGAGTTTATATTTCTATTTTAAATTCATAGTGTTTGCAACATTGAAATACAAAGATATGGCAAGCTTCTAGCATATAATATCCATTAGACTGTAGCATTTCTGATAAGCATTTTGGTCAGCTTATGTCATAGCCTCTGTTGCACAATACCTATCTGTTTCAGACGGGTCAATATATGCTAACCTATGCTGATTGTGCCAGGTGTACGAAATGGCATCCCCATAGGACCGCAGGTAACTCCATACTTTGTCCTCCACACAAAATAAATTAATAGTAAATAGTTAAGGTGAGATATTGAATTTTGTAAAATGGCATGTATGTAGGCTGCTTCACCTTGGCTTTACGTCTACCCTCAAGGCTTCCGTGACTTGCTACTTTATGTTAAGGAGAACTATGGCAATCCTACCGTCTACATCACTGAAAATGGTAAGTCTCCGATACTACGGTAACACATTCTAATTTTTAAATTAAGTCAGCAATGAACTCCTATGGCATAAATATTTTTCTTCTCCTAGCTTCTTGAAGAAATAAAATATATATTCTCTAAAAGTTAATGAATCTAACTGATTTTTTATTGCTGCATCTTAAGGCGTTGATGAATTCAACAATAAGACCTTACCACTCCAAGAAGCCTTGAAGGATGACGCTAGGATAGAATACTACCACAAGCACCTCCTTTCCCTGCTAAGTGCTATAAGGTCTGAACTCTGAACTATTGATCATAGACCCATTTCTGAGTAGGGTTCTTCAGATGCTAGTTGACAATGCATTACTCCATATGCCTTCACAGGGATGGAGCAAACGTGAAGGGATACTTTGCATGGTCGCTGCTTGATAACTTCGAGTGGTCGAACGGCTACACAGTTCGATTTGGGATAAACTTCGTAGATTACAATGACGGAAGGAAGAGATACCCCAAGAACTCTGCCCATTGGTTCAAGAAGTTCCTCCTGAAATGATAAAAAAGCACCATTGCACTCATTGCTTTTCTCATTGAATAATAAAAGAGTATATGTTTTGCGTGAATTTGGTACAAGAGATGGAAGTAATCCAGTTAAATAATAAATCCCTCTCTTACTGCATGTCTGCATCTATATCTTAACTTCCTGCACATAGTTTAGCAAAAGGTATATAGTTACACACCTTCTATCAACACATTTCTCAAAAGTCAACACTACAACTCTATACTTTTATTAATTGATTGATCATTTTTTAGAATGGTGTGTCCAGAACCTTGGAATGCCATTACTTTTCCCCAACACGGCGATGTTTTTTTTTTCTTTGAGAGAATGTGCGATTACGGTATGTCGAACTCCTCATCTCATGATCTGATCCGTCATCCATGCATGGATTTGGCCAACAAAGCACAAAAGTTGAAAAAGCAACTCAATGAGACAAAATCTAACTACTTACCCTGCAAGAGCTTCCGCGACGGGGCGGCGGTTGTCGGTTGGCCGCTGGGACTGGGGCGGCCAGAGGGCTGAACGGGGAAAGGTCCGTCCCCGCCGCCGCGAGGCTCTAGCCGCGGTTGGTAGGCAGCGCCGCGGGCCCCCTCGTCACCGGCGACGGGCGGTGGACTGCAGGGAGCCGTGGCAGCGACGGCGCGGACGAGGGAATTGGAGCGTGTGGAGATTGGTATTGGGCCTTTATGGACTTGTGGGCTGCGAAATTTGAGAGATGGGGGTCTTATGGGCCAAAATCCAGGGAAATGCGGCTTTGCCCCTTCGAGATTTAAAAGTTGACTTTGATTACGTACAACGTATCACGACAACATTGGAACATAATAATCTAGAAGGCTGCTATATAGCAGAATTCCGCTTTTGAACAGGATGATACCTGTTAGGTATCAGGTCTGATATCGGGTGATACCTGTCAAGTATCAGACGATCTATCATGTTTTAGGTGATACTTGCGAGGTATCAGGTGATACCTATCAGGTATCATACGATTCTTACCATATAGAAGGTGATACTTGCGAGGTATCAGATGATACCTATCAGGTATCATACGATTTTTACCACATAGAAGGTAATACTTATGAGGTATCAGGTGATACCTATCAATATCATGCGATACATACCCAACGCCGACGACGACCACTGCCGCCCCAGCGCCCCTCCCTCCCTAGCTCCGGCCACCGCCGCTGCTCCCGCCGCCGCTCTCTCCCCCAAATCCGGCTCCCACCACTGGCGTCCCTTCCACCCCCCAAAACCGGCTGCCACCGCCGCCGCCCCTCCTCTCTCCAGCCACCTCTGACTGGTGGTAGGAAAGGGCTCGGAGGGCGAGGAGAGCGTGGAGACGAGAGAGGCGGAGAAACCGACGAGGAGTGGAGGGGAGAGGGCGGCGATGAGTTGGTCGTGGAGGCCGTAGAAGTGGACCTCGACGAGGAGGAGTCGACGATGAAGATGGGCCCGACGGAGGTGGCGTGGTCCGCGTGGATGGCGGAGAGAAGAACGGGGTCACGCCTGCCGCCGGCTTCCATCGATGCTTCCTCTCATAGGCTCTTGCCAGTCGCTGATGACGCTAGCTGGTTATCCTATTGGGGTACAGTATCCCGTCCCCTAGCATTCATGAATAATCTAATATATTATTTTATATATTACATGGTCTGTTTGTTTAAATTTGCAACATTAGAGCACATACAATGATAATTAATAGCAGGCTTTTAGAGTTATTAATAAGGTAACTTAACATAGAAGAAAGAGAAGGATAGTAGTTAGGAGTAATTGTTATGCATAATAACAATGGCTTAATGTTGACTCTCAACATTTGTAGAAGGAAACTTTGCATTAGGACAGAGAAAAGGAAAGAAAGATAATAAAAATTATTTCGATGCAGTAAATGTTATATATTTTTCTATTGTCTTTGGATTAAGAGTCTATGATAAGCTTTACCTTTAAACATGTCTTTAACTTGTGTTTAATCTGTGCTTAACCGAATAAACATGTTTTCATAAATTGCGAACTGTCAATATGATCTTTACTAAAATTAAATAATTCTAGAGTACTTTTGACCTTTTTTGAAAGATTCCACAAATAGAATTGCTGATGAGAGTTGAAACGTTGTTGCACTGAGTTTCTCTATATGCACCAAAATGTTGAATGGAATATGAAAAGTCTAATGCAAGCACTTGCACAAGACTAACTCAGCTAGCTTAGCATGTGGTAGTTCTACATCAGCGATAATGGGTTAATTTGATTAAGCACTTGCGCATTAAGGTGTTTTTTACTATAAAATTGAGTAGATGGGTGAGCATTTACAACAAAATAACTTATGTGATGGAACGTCAAACTTTAAGTGACTTATAGGGTTGCTTTTGTAATTTTTTTCTATATTTTAAGATGAAGAGAATAATCTAAAATTTTCAAAATATTAATTAACACGTTTCTTTCTGATTTTCTAGCATTCCAGAGCGCTTGCCACGAACGAACTATATCTCACTTGATTCTACCCAACTTTTGAGATGAAAATTTTCTTTTGTAGAAGCTTCCATGTAGAAACGTAGAAACTTTACAAAGGCAGTGTTTAGTTCCATGCCGAATTTTTTTTTTACATATATGGACACACATTTGAAGTATTAAACGTAGACTAATTAACAAAACAAATTATAGATTCCGACTGTAAACTGCGAGCCGAATCTTTTGAGCCTAATTAATCCGTCATTAGCACATATGGGTTACTGTAGCACTTATGACTAATCATGACATAATTTGGCTCAAAAGATTAGTCTCGCAATTTTACAGTCGGACTGTGCAATTAGTTTTTCTTTTTGTCCACATTTGATGCTTCATACATGTGTCCAAATATTTAATATGACGGAAAAGTTATGGCTAATCACTGTAGTACTGTAGCACTATGCAATTAGTGTAGTACTTATAGTTAATCATGAAGTAATTAGGCTCAAAAGATTTACAGTCGGACTGTGCAATTAGTTTTTCTTTTTGTCCACATTTGATGCTTCATACATGTGTCCAAACATTTAATATGACGGAAAAGTTAAAAGTTTAAAGAAAAAAGTTGGAATCTATACACAACCAAAGATAGAATTCAAAAAATAAGTTAAAAGAAATACCGTATGAACTTCTTATTGGCCCTAAACTGTCCCAAACATGCAGGCACGTGCGAGGGAGAACTAGCTTGTTCGAGGTGCCCTCGCGTACATCTCTCATAATGCACAAATCGGTGGTGAAATATATAGGAAAAGAAGATTCTCCAAAAAAAAAAAGATCACGTATGTGATTCTCTCAAAAAAAAAATAGGAGTGCGATTCTCTCTTTAAAAAAAATAGGAATGCGATTCTCTAAAAAGAAAAAAAAAGAATAGGAATGCGATATGTTTGTGCTCGCGCGTTCCGGCGGTGTTAGCTTCGATATTTTTCTTAAGGTACGGGTGTGATTTGTGCCAAATAAGGTTGCAATATACTGTAACTCCATATAGGACTAGCTAGTTTGGTAGCAAGTCATATTGGATTGTTGTCACATCCGCAGAATTGTGCAAGAAATTCAGATTTTTCACGAGAAATCCAGTTAGTTGCTCTGGTTACATCTAAACACAGAAACTGGGAAACATCCACTGTACTCGCTTTGAGATGCCGCGAATTATTAAAGGCATTGAAAAAGATACGAGTGATCTCTTCATTTAATATAATACGTAATATATCTCACGGATTTTAATTTAGACTACACTGTTTAAATTTATAGAACTAGAATATATTATTTCACGTAGTAGATTAACTTATTTTAGGAGAGAGAGTACATAACTTGACGGTGTTCCATGCATCATATGCATCTTGTGGGGATTCAGAACTGCAAGATAGCTATACAGCCTGAACCCGAACAAGTTGTCAGCGGCAAGAGTACAACCTGTTGGAATTAATGAATAGGCCTTAGCCCACTCGAAGATTAATTCTTTGGAAAATCACAAAAGCCCACCTCATGGGATGGCATGCATGTGGAGTTTAGTACCACCTTGCTTATTCTAGGAGAGGGGGACCTCCTTAAAAGGGAGGATGCCCTCCTAGCCACTTGAAGCATGTGTGGTGGAGAGAAGAGGGGAAACACACGCGCGCGCTCGCTCGCCTCGCCTGGCAGGGCAGGCGGCGCGTGTGCACGACGTACGCGTCGAATGGTCCGAAAAATTGGCTCCTCACCCTTGCGCAGATGCAGCCTCCTTTTGCAGTTTTGTTTTGCTGCAAATTCGGATTCGTTTTTGTTTTGGAAACGTTCCGAAAAATCCGGTGCGTGCAAACGGCGTGGAGTCCGGATAAGTTACGCGCGACTTATCCGGTTCGGTTACGCGCAGTAGAGATCGTGCGGGCGCCCTGATCAAGCGACCCTTCTCTATATAAACCGACCCGCCGTCTTCACGCAATATATGCGAAAATCAATCTAGGGTTTGCCTCCTACTCTGTACTGCGCCGTCGCTCGTAGACTACTCCATCCCGCTCGTCGGCGTGCACCAGCGATCGGGAGAGCAGGTCTCCGGAACCTCTGCCTTTGACGTCCTGCACCGGGAGAAGGCGGCAATAAGGTTTTTGGGAAGCGCTTCGCGCGACTGCTCCCTGTTCGTTCGCGACGGCTCGCCTTCCTCTTCGCTCGCGTGTTTCGTGCCTTCGTAGACACCTGCGAAAAGTTTTGACCAAGCAGCCGGTCTTTTCGTCACCTCGGTACGTGTTCAATATGTTGCGCATATTTGATCTGTTCATGTTATTCTGCGTAGTTTACATGTGTAGATCTAATGATGCGTTCATGCTAGTTTTCATCTGTAATGTCATGATTTATTTATGTAATAAATTAAATCATTATATGCCCATAATATCAACACAACCAAGAACCACCAAAAATCATTTTCCTATCTCTCTTCGTGCACGCTTAGGTCATTTTCAACCCAATGAGTAGGATAGTGTCCATAGTATTAAATAAGCTGTCATTTAGAATGAAAGATGATGTGGCAAAGTGAATAAATGATGAAAGAGAATGAAACCATGTCTTGCATGAGATATGGTTTCTACACAACATCCAAAATATCATGTGAGATAAGTAGCATTAAATTTAAATATGGAATAGTGGTGTTTGTATTAGAAGAGTAGTGCCTAGAACTAGTTTCTTGATGATATGAAGTTTATTAAAACTATGTTTAGTGTCTTGGGTTAAAAATGGCCTTAGCACGAGCATCTACAACAGTTTTTTTTCCTGATTACTAGTACTCCCACGTGGCCACGTCCTACCCCATCACCGCCGACAAGTCCAAACTGATATGCAAGTCCCTATTTAAGTTGAGCTGTCTGTGTTCATCAGCCCATCACTCTCTTCTGTCTATGTAGGTCATGGCGGTTGCAGGGGCAATGGTGATGTCAGGTGCTCTTCTCCTTCTCCACCTCTTAGCTTTTACCTGCGTCGCCTGCAATGGCGGCAGCGAGCTGCCGCCGATCAGCCGGAGGAGCTTCCCCAAGGGGTTCATTTTTGGGACGTCCTCGTCGTCATATCAGGTTAGGCTTTCGCTTCATTCTTCCTACAAGAATTTGGGAATAATTTCATAAAAACTGCCGCTGAAACTAAATTATCGCAAGAACATCAGTTGGAACAGAATGTGTTCTTTTCAAATTGGAAAAAAAAAAGGGGTTAATTTCAAGACAGTATAAATGAATAGCCCCACCATGATGCTTTCTATTAGTAGTAGAAAGTAATATGAACCGGTAATTTCAATTGATCGAAGAGTTCGGATTTATTTGTACTACTATCCCAGTTAACAGTAGTAGAAATATGGAGGGATATTATTGTCAAAAAGAAATAAGTGTGGAGGGGTATAATCATCATTTAGCAGTGACTAAAACTTTTTTTTTCTTTTTTTAGCTTTTTCGATGGAATATGAGCAATGTCAACACAATGGATGACGTCGTATTAATCTAAAAAGGAAAACAAACATAAATAATAAAGTTACCCCTAATAATGGTATTAATAAACTACTAATTTATGCTTGATAACAAATACTAGTTTAGATTATTTTTACTGGTAGTATAATTCACTAGCAAATAGCACCGGAGCATCGATCATGAATGAAACACATGAAAAAGGAGCAGATGAAGATAAATTGTGCAACTAGGGTACCTCATAGATATCGGTGACCAGCAAATGATGGCACTGAAAAATGCTCAAGCTGCCCTATAAGAGTAAGAATAATGCTCATATTTGCTGGTAGAGAGGAATTCAAGCCCTGATCCAATACGTATTCAGTAGTCAATTCAACTGTTTCGTGATTCCTTCTCAACTCATCACGATGTGCTCTGTTTCAGGTCTGAAATAAACCTGACGAATTGACTGTTGTTTTACACATGATGCAGTTCGAGGGTGGCGCAGTGTTGGGTGGCAGAGGACCAAGCATCTGGGACACCTTCACACATCAGTCTCCAGGCATGTTAACTGTAAATGGCAAGAAAGGAAAGGCAATGAGACATTATTTTGAATTGAAAATCCGCCAATTTGGCAGACAAAATCACTGACAGAAGCAATGGCGATGTGGCTTGCGACAGCTACCATCTCTACAAGGTATTAGCAATTACTCATAGCATTTTTCAAGTTGCTGTCATGGCCATTTCTAATTGATCTTTTGTAAAGGTTTTAGTCAAATATACACAACATGTTTGCCAGTCTGCCTCTGCCACGATCTCTTCAAACTTTAATTCTAAGATTCTTTAAAAGGACTAATTTAGTACTCATCCTGAGGGCCTGGCCACCAAAAAATGCAGGAAGATGTGCGCAGTATGAAGGAGATGGGGATGGATGCATACAGATTCTCCATCTCATGGTCAAGAATTCTTCCAAGTGCGTGACCATATCTTTTAGGAAAAAAATAATGATAGATACAATGAACTGTCATAGACTTACCAACAGATAGAGGTTATCTAAATATGTTTTCTCTTTTGTTCTCAAGCACAATATTTTGCATTTCTTTTTCAATCTCCAAGGTGATCCAACCAGGGTTAAAATCTCACTGACATGGCAGATGGAAGTCTGAGCGGTGGAGTCAACAGAGAAGGCATCAGCTACTACAACAATTTGATCAATGAGCTATTATCGAAAGGTATGCAAGTCTCGTCTTCACCATTTACTTTCAAGTTCAGAATCTAGATGCAGCTTGTGACAACCATTAGCTCCATTCTTTGGTATGCCAGATTTCTTTATTCAAGATGCAAAAATAATCTTATACATTTGCAGGGGTGCAACCATTTGTTACCCTTTTCCACTGGGACTCACCTCAGGCGTTGGAAGATAAATATAAAGGGTTTCTTAGCCCTAATATCATGTAAGTCAACAATTCTTCAGTACCTTTTTTTATCTTTTGAAACCGAATTCTTCGGTACCTTTTGCTGACCAGGTTAAATAAACACTAACTTAAAAAAATATTTGGGGCAGTGTTACCTACTTCAGTTATAAATATTGTCAACCTCATCATGCACATCAATTGGATTTTTTTTAGAGTACCACTGAGTGAATGCGAGCCGTTTATTGTAGTAGATCCAACAGATCATATTTGTTTCTACTGCACCTATTAGATTGAGTAGTAGTGTAGTAGAAGGGTATTTTAGAAAAAAAAATACATGGCATTGATGTAAATACGTAGTTGTTGAAGGGTTCCGTAGTTCATCGCTATTACCCGAAATTTCAATGTCAACAGCTTGTGGAGTTCTCTTCCCATTTTTGTCGCAAATACTCACTCCTTCCTAAATTGATCATCATACAATGGAATCTAAAATTTCTCAAATTGATCAACATATAACCGTATGGACACGGATTTTATCATAATACAATTAATTCAGTATGGGAGAATGTGTGCATGCTAGGGTGTAATTGACATGATGTTTTAATCAACACATGCATTATGGAAGAACGTGTGCATAGTGTCTTGATTGATGCAATTTAAATTATCATTAGTCTTGGTACATAAACATATATGATGATCAATTTGGGATGGAGGGAGTATTGTTTACTGCGATTTGTGGAAAGGGAAGTCGGGAGGTGTTTTGCTTTGAACAGGATTTATCATTTAACCGCTGTTTGCACTGACACCAGCCCTAATAGTGCTCCATTGTGATAGTCTTTTCAGCTAAAACATCTACTGTTACTTGCAATCAAAGAAGTGCTAAAGTTACTGACTGTGAAGAACTGTTGCAGAAATGACTATAAGGAATACGCTGAAACATGCTTCAAAGAGTTTGGTGACCGGGTGAAACATTGGATCACCTTCAATGAGCCTTGGACCTTCTGCTCTATGGGCTATGCATCTGGCATCATGGCACCAGGCCGGTGTTCATCCTGGGAGGTGGGAAAATGCAGAGTTGGAGATTCAGGAAGGGAGCCTTACACTGCATGCCATCACCAACTACTTGCTCACGCAGAAACCGTTCGGTTGTACAAAGAGAAATATCAGTTCACTGAAGGAAATGTCAGGCAGTTGCAGTTCATCCGTGATAATAATTTAAATCGAAGATCCGCAAAGTTAAGTTTCATAATCCAAAATTATTTATTGCTTGGTATTCAATTTCAGCTGGGGCCTGGTGGTGGTAGTAGAGTTTATCAGTAGAGACATTAGCGGATCTTACATTGTTATTTTTCATTGTAGTAAATTTCACAAAAATACAAGTACTTCATACAAACTATCATAAAACTATATATTTAACATGTTGTATCACAAAGCTATAAATTTAGCAAAGTTATCACAAAACTACATATTTAAAGCCAAGCATTACAAAACTACAGCTTTAATATTATCACAAAATTACATATTTTAGAGTTTAAATCCCAAGCACTACTATTATGTTTGAGCTATAAAAGTTGTAGTTTTACGATTAAATTGGTGCTAAACTTGTAATTTTGTCATAATTTTGTTACCAAATCTGTAAATATGTGATACTTCATCTTAATAAATTTAGCTCTAAATATATAATTTTGTTTTTTTGAAATAGTTAAATATATAATTTTGTGATACACCGTCTTAAATATATAATTTTGTGATAGTTTGATCAAAATATATGTAGTGTGAAATTTACTCTTCTTATTATGAACTGTAATATGGTAAAACTCGATGAAACACACACCACAATACCAAATAGTCAATATGGATAAGAGAAATCCTAGAATCCTAAGAAGAAAAATAAAACATTTGGCCCTTAATCACAAGGTCAGGTATAGAGGTCAAAATAGGTAAGAGAGATATTTATTTGTTTATTATGCAAGGCCCTCCAGACTCAAGGGGAAAACATAATCCTATAAATTCTCACACAAAAACAAAACATCATGTCTTAATCTCGATGCCCTAATACAGAGGTCTGGATCTATTAGTTAGGTTGGAGATATATTTATATACTAAAAGGGGAACGCTCCGGTGCTTTCTACTTGTAATATTATACTATGAGTAGAATTAATCCTGACCGTTTATTTTAAAGGGTAGATTAGTAATCTCCTAGTACATATTAGGGGTAATTTTGGCTGGAGGATGATTTCTCTGTCTCATTCGCTTAATTGCATCAGGCCCGACGCAGGAACTGCATCTTGCATGTTACTTATCGCGACTCCTCCCGGCAGGTGGCGGCGCGGCAAAAATTGCCGGCAGCGCTTTGTAATCTCTGTTTGGACCAGACAGCAATACTATGCAATGTGCGACTGGTTGCTTTCCAGCAGGTACTGAAACCCATTTCACGCAGGCATTCATTAGACAACTGCTAGTCTGCTACCTTGAAAACTGAAAAATTATGAACTCGCGTAATAGCAGATAAATCTGTCGAAAAGCTGTTTGCAAGTAACGTGATGGTGCATGCACATAAATAAGTGTTAAATCGATCCATTCAGGAAGATCTAAACAGCCAAATTTAACGTATAAGCAGTAGCACTCACGATTTCTCTTCCATATCCATACTGTAATTGCTCTGAAGCCATAGACCTGCTAGTAGTCATTCCATAAGCTGCTGGTCGGGCGCGACGACCCCAGCCCGTCCCCTGTCCATGACCACAGCGCGACAGCGCTGTCACCCCGCTTCCGAATTCCGATAGCTACTGAGCGCGCCGTCGGGGAGGAGGGAGCCAGCTGCAGCAGTCCGTGGGCAGATGGATTGATAGGGGAACGGATGCGTGGTGACCGCCGTTATGTGCGAAGTTACAATATTATCCCTCCACTCCATTTTGCGATGGACTATTATGTCCTTCCACTTTTCTACTACCCTTAATTGACGTGGAAGTATAATTAGATCAGGTACATTAGATTAAAAATTATCAACGGCTTAGATTAATTCTACTACCAGTAGAAAGCGCCGGAGTCTCGCTCATACTAAAAACAATGAAAGGCCTTTAGAGTCGATATGAAAAAAGAAAAAAAATAAAAGCAAAACATTCACCATTAATCTTGGCAAAAGATCGCCAGTTGAGTTATTTTCAAAATTCAAACATATATCAGTAGCCAACAACACAGTTATACGAGGAAGTTGAAACCAACAAACATGTAAAATACAATTTGCAAATAAGCATTAATGTATATGATAGCTAGCTGCACAATTTGTGCAGGTAACTTGGCTAAATGGCTAGCAAGTTACTTTTTTAACTGCAGCGCTATTTTATATCATGCATTATCATGAAACAGATTCCTATCAGATACATAGACATGCGCATACTCTAGCCTACCGTTATATTCAAAACTTCTGCACTTTACTACGCAATAATATGTTCTAGGCCTTATAATTTGAACATGAATGTAGATATGCATTAGTAGTTAGTATTGTATAAGCGATTGTTGTGGTGTATGATAGTTTGAGTGCTGAAGCTGAGTCTGTTTGCTAGTAGATCAAGGCTTTAGCTTCAGCACTCGCAACATCACACTCCACACACCTCACAATGACCAAATGCTTATCAAATGCAGGCTTTACAAAAGGGGAAGATTGGAATAATTTTAAATGCAGACTGGTTTGTTCCATTGTCCCAATCCAAATCCAGCAGTGATGCTGCAAGACGTGCTCTAGACTTCATGCTTGGATGGTATTCTTTGTCTCACACATAATTTCATTATTATGAGAGTGAAGATTCTAACTATGAAATCCCTTCTAGGTTTATGGATCCTCTCATTAGAGGAGACTACCCACTAAGCATGAGAGAATTGGTTGGAAATCGCTTGCCAGAGTTCAGCAAAGAGCAATCTGGAATGGTCAAGGGTGCATTCGATTTCATTGGACTCAACTACTACACTTCAAGCTATGCTGATAATGATCCTCCATCGCATGGCCATAACAACAGCTATAATACTGATGCACATGCTAAGATTACTGGTGAGCAACATTATCTCATCATGAATATGTGATAAATATTGGTTTGGATACATGTATTGTGTAGCTTGTTTTTGCTACTATGTGCTAACCTTGTCCAATTATGCTAGGTAGTCGAAACGGGATTCCCATAGGGCCTCAGGTGACCTACTACTTTGTTATCCACAGAACAAATTCCTAGTAAATCAATTGATCAAAGGACATGATTGAAAACTCAACAAACAACATGTGTGTAGGCTGCTTCGTTTTGGTTTCACATCTACCCTGAAGGGATCTGTGAAATGTTGCTTTATGTTAAGGAGAACTATGGCAATCCTACCATCTACATCACTGAAAATGGTAAGTTCCAACAAACATATAGGTCATACAGTTTCTCAGCATGTGTGCAAACCAATACTACTGTATAACACCTTCTGATTGTTGGTTTTTTTTCAATCTAGACAATAGTGCACATAGGACTTAATAGTCTTCTCCTAGCTATGTAAAAAAAGGGCATTATCCTCTTCTAGAAGTGAATTAACATTATTGATTCTTTCTAAATACATCCCAAGGTGTTGATGAAGTCAATAATAAGACCATGCCGCTCGAGGAAGCCCTGAAGGATGATACCAGGATCGAATACTATCACAAGCACCTTCTCGCCCTGCTAAGTGCTATGAGGTCAGAACATCAATTCAGACACTCAGCTATCAGTAGACAACTTAAAGATGGTACTAACACTGCATTATTCCATATGCCTCCACAGGGATGGAGCAAACGTGAAGGGGTACTTTGCATGGTCTCTGCTTGACAACTTTGAGTGGGCAGAGGGCTACACAGTTCGGTTTGGGATAAACTTTGTGGATTACGATGACGGAATGAAGAGATACCCCAAGAACTCGGCCCGTTGGTTCAAGAAGTTCCTCCAGAAATCAAACAGAGATGGAAACAAAAGGTTGAAAAGAGTTGCATACAATGCCTTTTCTAATTGAACATCGAAATAGTATATAAGTTTTATGAGTTAAGTACAATAGATGAAATTGGTTCGACTAAATTAATAAATCTCACTCTCCTCTTCTTGCATGTTTGCATCTCTCTCTTGCATGTTACACACCTTCTATCAACATATTTCTCAAAAGTCGAAACTATAACTTTATACTTTTATTGATTGATTTTTCTTTTTAGAATGGTGTGTCCATAACCTTAGAATGCCATTACTTTGCCCCAAAGCGATGTTGTTTTTTTTTTGTCTTGCTGAGAGGATGTGGGATTACTGTATGTTGAACTCCTCATCTTATGATCTCATCCATGCGTGGATTTAGCCCAACAAAGCCCAAAAGTTCTATCTGCCCACACGCCAGGTTAAGCTAGTTTTTGACGTGCGATTGCTGCTGTAGGGGTGGAAAAAAAAAAGATTAGGAGCTTGGTTGGCTTGGCTCGGCTCGTAAGCCAAACAAGTCAAGCCCAAGCCTCCTATTTAGCTCGTTGTTGAAATGAGCCAAGCCCGAGCTGGCTCACGAGCCGTTTGTTTTGGCTCGCAAGCCTAGGCCATCATGTATTTATATCGATTATTTTATTTTTCATAGAGTTATTATTTGTTAATTAAAAATTTATCATTAAGATTTTTAAAGAATTGAATATATAAACTTATTTAAATTTTATATGTTGATGATTTGATTTTTTTAATAATTATAAAATATAAATGAATAGGTGTTTTAACAGGAAGGCTTGCAAGCTAGCTCGAGCCAAAAAACGAGCCGAGCCGAGCTTAAGTTTTAGCTTGTTTCTATAACTAAGCCGAGCTCAAGTTTTTGAATAAGATGAACGGCCAAATATGTTTAAAAAAATCAACGGCGTTAAATATTTAGTGACGATGGAGTATTAGGAATGTGATTCTCTCTTAAAAAAAATTAGGAATGCGACAGGTTTATGCTCGCGCGTTTCGGGCGGTAGGAGCTTTGATATCTCTTTTGAGATAGGTATGGCCGTGTGATTTGTGCCAAGCAAGATTGCAATAACTCCATAATTAATAGTGCTATCAGGTTGGTAGCAAGTCACAGATGCCACGAATTAGAAGCAGTGAAAAAGATACAGGTACCTAACTTGATGGTGTTCCATGCATCTTGACTTCTTGAGAAGCTAGCCATACGGCCTGAACCTGAAGAAGTTGCTAGCGGCAAGAGCAGAACCACGAATGTGCTTCGTGCACGTTATCAGTTATCACGAGCATCTAAAGTTGAATCGACCGCTGTATCGAGCCAAAGCAAAAGTTAAAATTTAAATTTTTGAACTTGATTTTAAGATATTTTAACATAATTTCTTTTTAGCGTTGGTTTTTAAGTCGTTACGAACAAATATATAAAAGTTTTACCTATAAATTATTTTTTATTTCCTAACAAGTCATATTAGTGAATATGGGCAACCGATGAGGCTCTAGGACTCTCTCCGTTTCAAAATAGGTCCATTTTTCACCCAAACTACTCATACCAATACAAACAAAAGAAACTAGAATACCCCTATTTTATCTAATCTTAATACAATTATTTCCTACTTTATTACTCCTAATGCAATTATTTCCTCCTTTCACAAACTCTGTTACAATAATTACTCAAAATGAATTTATTTTGAGATAAATGAGAGAAATCAAAAATAAACTTATTATGGGATGGAAACAGTGTACTCCCACTGACTACTGATGGGTGTGTTGATAGTGTTTTGTCAGGGTGGTCACCACTCTGAAAAACCATTATCCCCACCTTGTCCACAAGTCCAAACACATATCCTGATATGGTATTAAGCAAGTCCCTATGTACGAGAGGCTATATGTTGGGCACCGTTTGTGTTCATCAGCCCATCACTCTTTTCTGTCTATGTAGGTCATGGCGGTTGCAGGTGCAATGGTGATGTCAGGTGGCGTGCTCCTTCTCCTCTTGGCTTTCACCTGCGCCGCCTACAATGACGCCGGCGAGCTGCCGCCGATCAGCCGGAGAAGCTTCCCCAAGGGGTTCATCTTTGGGACGTCCTCGTCGTCATATCAGGTCAGGCATCCAACCTCATCCTTCCTACAAGAAATCGAGAAGAATTTCATAAAACTGCCACCGAAAGTAAATTCTGCAAGGACAACAGTCGGAACAGACTGTTCTTTTCGAAGGGGAAACAAAAGTACGAACAGAATGTACAAATGAAACACATGAAAAAGGAACAGGTTAAGATAAATTGTGCAACTAGAGTACCTCATTGATGTAGGTAACCAGAAAATGATGGCACTGAAAAATGCTGAAATTTCTCTAAAGAATAAGAATAATGCTCATATTTGCATGTAGAGAGAAATTCCATGATCCAATACTGTATTCAGTAGTCAATTTAACTGTTTCCTGATTCCTTCTCATCTCATCACGATGTGCTCTGTTTCAGATCTGAAACCTGACAAATTGACTGCTGTTTCACACATGATGCAGTTTGAGGGTGCCGCGGCGAAGGGTGGCAGAGGACCAAGCATCTGGGACACCTTCACACATCAGTATCCAGGCATGCTGACTATAAATGGCCAGAAATAAAAGGTCATTACATTATTTTGGATTGACAATTCTCTAATTTGGCAGACAAAATCACCGACAAGAGCAACGGGGATGGTGCTTGCAATAGCTACCATCTCTACAAGGTATTGGCAACTAGCATTGACTTTAGTACTCCCTCCATTCCTAAATGATCTTCATATTTCACCTAAGCAGCAAGACCAAGGAGCAGTTACTATCCCATCTATCCGTGCATGTCGCTTCATCAATTTTGCATGCCGCATGCACCAGCCAATCAGCTATAATGCATTAATTCCACGCATGCAGCAGCTCCCAACTTAACTCTCACAGAGCCAATGCATGCATGTAGTGCTGCTTAATACGAAGCACCATTATCGTCTACCCATGATTTCTGCTGCTTCCTAATGAAATACGAAGGTCAAATTGAAACTTTTTACTTTTGGTAATGCGAAGATCATTTAGGAATGGAGGGAGTAAGGGTTTTAATTAAATATACACTCCATGTTTGCCAGTCTTCCTCTGCCACAATCTCTTAAAACTTTAATTCTCTTCTTTAAAATGACTAATTTAGTACTCATCCTGAGGCCTGAGGGCCTGATCACCAAAAAAAATTGCAGGAAGATGTGCGCATTATGAAGGAGATGGGAATGGATGCATACAGGTTTTCCATCTCGTGGTCAAGAATTCTTCCAAGTACATGACTATATCTTTTAGAAATAAAATGATAATACATCCGTCCCAAAATATAAGGGATTTTGCCCATATAAATCCCAAATATTTTGGGATGGAGGTAGTAGATACAATGCACTGTCATAGATTTACTAACAGACAGCTTATTTAAAGACATTTTCTCTTTTGTTCTCAAGCACAATATTCTGCATTTCTTTTTCAATCTCCAAGGTGATCCCACCAGGGTTAAAATCTCCCTGTCATGGCAGATGGAAGTCTCAGCGGTGGAGTCAACAGAGAAGGCATCAACTACTACAACAATTTGATCAATGAACTATTATCAAAAGGTATGCATGTCTAGTCTTCACTATTTAGTTTCAAGTTCAGTCACTAGATGCAACTTGTGACAACCAGATTTCTTTATTCAAGATGCAAAATAATCTTATACATTTGCAGAGGTCCAACCATTTGCTACCCTATTCCATTTTGATACACCTCAGGCACTGGAAGATAAATATAAAGGATTTCTTAGCCCTAATATCATGTAAGTCAACAATTCTTCAGTACCTTTTGCTGACCATGTTAAATAAACACTAACTTCAAAATACTAGGGACCGTGCTACCTACTTCAGTTAAAAATATTGTCAACGTCATCATGCATATCAATTAGAATACCCGAAATTTCAATGCCAACAGCTTTTGGAGTTCTCTTTCCGATTTTTGTCGCGAATATTGTTTACTGCTATTTTTGGAAAGGGAGTCAGGACGGGTTTTGCTTTGGACAGGATTTAACCCCTGTTTCCACTGACACCAGCCTCAATAGTGCTCCCTTGTGATAGTCTTTTCAGCTACTGTTACTTGCAATGAAAAAAGTGCTAACGTTATTGACTGTAAAGAACTGTTGCAGAAATGACTATAAGGACTATGCTGAAATATGCTTCAAAGAGTTTGGTGACCGGGTGAAACATTGGATCACCTTCAATGAGCCTTGGAACTTCTGCTCTATGGGCTATGCATCTGGCACCATGGCACCAGGCCGGTGTTCATCCTGGGAGAAGGGAAAATGCAGAGTTGGAGATTCAGGAAGGGAGCCTTACACTGCATGCCATCACCAACTACTTGCTCATGCAGAAACTGTTCGGCTTTATAAAGAGAAATATCAGTTCACTGAAGAAGCTATCAGGCAGTCGCCGTTCATCCGTGATAATAATTTAAATCGAAGATCTGCAAAGTTAAGTTCCATAATCCAAAATTATTTATTGCTTGGCATTCAATTTCAGCTGGGGCCTGGTGGTGGTGGTAGAGTTTTTTCAGTACAGACATTAGCGGATCTTCCATTGTTATTTCTTATAATTATCTATAATATAGTAAAACTCGGAAAACGAACCCCATAGTCAATACGGATAAAAGAGGAATCCTAGAATTCTAACAAGAAAAGAAAAACATTTGGCCATTAATCACTATGTTAAGTACAGAGGTCAAAATAGGTAAGAGAGATATTTATCTGTTTATTATGCAAGACCCTCTAGCCTCAAGAAAAAAACAGAAATCCTATAGACTCTCACATGAAAACAGAAAATCATGTCTTAATCTCGATGCACCCTGATACAAAGGTCTGGATCTGTTGATTAGGTCAAAGATATCAGATATGTTATTTTATTATGTATATACTAAAATACAATCAAAGGCCTTTAGAGTTGATATGGAAAAAAAAAAAGAAAACAATATTAAAAAGCAAAAGCATTCACCGCTTATCTCGGCAAAACATCATCAATTAAGTTAATTTCACATCACCAGTTAAGTTATTTTCAAATACAAACACATATCAATATCCAACAAAACAGTTGTACGAGGAAGTTGGATCCAACAAACATGTAAAATTTGCAGGTAAGCATTAAAGTTTATGATAGCTAGCTGCAAAATTTGTGCTGGTAACTTGGATGAAAGGCTAGCTAGTTACTTTGTTAACTGCAGGACTATTTTATATCCTACATATCATGAAACAGATTCCTATCATATACACAGAAATGTGCATAGAGTTATATTCAAAACTTCTGCAATTTTCTACACAACAATATGTTCTAGGCCTTATAATTTAAACATGGATGTAACAGATATGCATTAGTAGTCGGTATCGTTTTAAGGAACAACGAAAACCCTAACCATGCATGCATATTGAGTGCTTATTTTGTTTACAAATCAATGGACTTGGTTTCAGCTTCAGCACTCACACCACACAATGAATAACAAGATGCATATCAAATGCAGGCTTTACAAAAGGGGAGGATTGGAATAATTTTGAACTCAGAGTGGTTTGTTCCTTTCTCCCAATCCAAATCCAGCAATGATGCTGCAAGACGTGTTCTAGACTTCATGCTTGGATGGTATTCTTTGTCTCACACATAATTTCATCATTATGAGAGTGAATATTCTAACTATGAAATCCCTTCTAGGTTTATGGATCCTCTCATTAGAGGAGACTACCCACTAAGCATGAGAGAATTGGTTGGAAATCGCTTGCCAGAGTTCAGCAAAGAGCAATCTGAAATGGTCAAGGGTGCATTCGATTTTATTGGACTCAACTACTACGCTTCAAGCTATGCTGATAATGATCCTCCATCATATGGCCATAACAACAGCTATAATACTGATTCCCATGCTAAGATTACTGGTGAGCAACATTATCATGGACTGGTCTACTTGTTTTGTGCATATGAACCATGAAATACAAACATATGGCAACTGCTCGACACAACATATTAAAAAAACAAATAGAATTTGGTCAGCTCACATCATAGCCTTTGAGGCATTGTCAATTGCACACTTTATTTTCCCTCGAAAAACATGCCGACTTTATTTGAAAATGGCATGTTACATGAGCATCCCAGCTTTCCTTTCATGCATGAAATGAATGTGGAGTGCTTCAATACAGTATAATGGCTATGATTAGTCTGGTAATGATATCTGTTTAATGTGTGTGAAGACAAAATAAAAAAAAACACTATACATTTTCAAACATGGGGGTGGCACCCCGGGGTGCTCAACATTATCTCATCATGAATATTTGATAATTGGTTTGGATGTGTAGCTTGTTTTTGCCACTGTGCTAACATTTCGCAACTATGCTAGGTAGTCGAAACGGGATTCCCATAGGGCCTCAGGTGACCTACTACTTTGTTATCCACAGAACAAATTACTAGTAAATCAATTGATCAGGTGACATGATTGAACTCTATAAACAACATGTGTTTAGGCTGCTTCGTTTTGGTTTTACATCTACCCTGAAGGGTTGCGTGAATTGTTGCTTCATATTAAGGAAAACTATGGCAATCCTACCATCTACATCACTGAAAATGGTAAGTTCCAACTAACATATGGATCATACAATTTCTCACTTTCTCAGCATGTGTGCAAACCAATACTACTATAACACCTTCTGATTTGATTTTTTTTTCAATCTAGACAATAGTGCACATAGGAGTTAGGACTTAATATTCTTCTCCTAGCTATGTAAAAAAAAGGGTATTATCCTCTTTTAGAAGTGATTTAACATTACTGATTCTTTCTGCATACATCTCAAGGTGTTGATGAAATCAATAATAAGACCATGCGACTCAAGGAGGCCCTGAAGGATGATATCAGGATTGAATACTATCACAAGCACCTTCTCGCCCTGCTAAGTGCTATGAGGTCAGAACATCAATTCAGACACTCAGCTATCAGTAAACAACTTAAGATGCTACTCGGTAACAGTGCGTTATTCCATATGCCTTCACAGGGATGGAGCAAATGTGAAGGGGTACTTCGCATGGTCTCTGCTTGACAACTTTGAGTGGTCAGAGGGCTACACAGTTCGGTTTGGGATAAACTTTGTGGATTACGATAACGGAATGAAGAGATACCCCAAGAACTCAGCCCGTTGGTTCAAGAAGTTCCTCCGGAAATGAAACAGAGATGGAAACAAAAGGTTGAAAATAGTTGCGCACACTCCCTTTTTCTCATTGAACATCAAAATAGTATATAAGCTTTATGAGTTAAGTGCCATAAATGAAATTAGTTCGTAAATAAATCTCACTCTCCTCTTCTTGCATGTTTGCATCTACTATCTCTTAACTATATGTACATAGCTAAGCAAAGGATAAATACCGTATGGGCATGTATGTTTGTATCCAAGAGGGATGCTCTAATGAAAGATGGACATGAGAAGTAGTTCTTCGCACTTAAGGATTATTACACAACGTATATGAAAAAAAAAATGTACTCCTTGTGGTAAAAGGAGAAATGTGCGTTCCATAATGCCTACAACGCACTCGGAATTGGCTTTTTATACGGCATTAATCAAGCAGTGGTATACTGGTAGTTCAGATCTATCTGCAAGTTTGAGCGATCAGAAAGAAATCGGCACATGCAGACGGGGTACTTACCGGATGCTCACCCTGGGGGGATCGGGAGGCTGCCGCTATGGCTGATGAGGCGAGCCGGTAGCAAGGTCGTCGCTGCTACCTAGCTTGCAGTGTTGCCGCCTTCTCCGGTGGGGGGAAGGGCAAGAGCGCGGAGGGCGGCTGGAGTGCGGGGGGCGGAGTGTGCGGTGGTAGCCATCCATGGATTCGGAGCGTGGGGGCGGAGGCGGAGAGGAGGGTGCCGGCCGACGGGGCGCTAGCAATGGCGCCGCCGCGGGAGCAGAGATCGGCGAGCCGGCGACCACCAGATCACGGCTATGAAGCCATCCAGAATCGAACACGTATCGCCGTATAGGTGGTTTTTGATGTTTTTTTTTTGTTGGGGGGGGGGGGTGTTAAAAGAAAATAATGCTACAAATAAGGTGATTAAAAATAATATGAATCAGTTTACTCAAGTTTGAAAATTTTCAATAAAATTTGTTAAAATATGTACTCTGTATAAAAATTTATATAATCTCAATCCTTATTTAGGACAAAAGTTCTAACTCAACAAAGTATGAAGTTTCTGTGATCACACGATGAATGTGTTGTCTTTTATGTGTGCTCACTTGGCTGTTGTTTTTTTTTTTTTTTGCTTGAATGGAATGAAGACGACCATGATAATTTTTTTTCTTGATGATGATAGGCCTGATGTTATTTGTGCACATCAAAACGGATGTGTTCATGTGAAAATGGGTTCTAGTCTGCCTAGGCACACTTAGCACCCTGTGAGTACCCCATAGCAACAACCAGAGACATGCCGTTGCAGGGGAACATACGTTTCCAAATAATCATTAGGGTAAGACCCTATTAAAGTGAAGGCATGCTGATTTATCTTAGACTTGGTAGGTCAGTTAGAATGTTCTCTGATGTCATAGAGATTAGAATTTAGAGATGATAAGCAATTAGGAGATTCGAGAGTGAATAGATGTGGAATACATGAAGAAAGGAGTAAGATGTAGAAGAAATAGGTAAGGGAAGTAAATTAAATTTGAGAAGTTGTTTCAATTAGCCTTTGACCCCCAACATCTATAAAAGAGGTGGTTTTGCATCTGTTTGCCATTTTCTATGTCCTATTAGACTCACAGATCAACTAGAGCATAAGAAATCCCAGCCTCAAGCAAGAAAACACGAGAAATATCTAAAATTGGACTTGGGTTCGCGACCGAAGGTCTGACAGGCCAAACACTAGCGGTCCAACCGCTCAAAAATTAGTGGTCATATCAGCCTCAATGTGAAGGCTCTAATCTTTTCTAAACTTCACCTAAATTTGATATAGTGTTAAATTTGGCTATCAATGGTTGCAATAAACTCTATATCATGGCTAATTAGCTGGCAAGTCTGTATTGAACAATACCACAATAAACTACTATTTTCTACTTAAATATATGGTGTTGTTGACTTTTGGTCATGGTGTTCGATCATTCATCTCATTCAAATTAAATTTTAATATAAATATTTAATAATATAGTTCATGCTTAAATTACTTACTATGATAAACAAGTTAAAAACAAATGATATTTACATGTATTTTTTACATTAGCTACCTCTACACGCAGAAACAAAAGGGTTACACTAGCATGTACACTTGGACAATCCCGGCTTTGAGAAAGCTACCATTAGAAACAAAGAGAGATCAGATAAGGCCTTTGTTTAGTTGGCAAAAAATTTTGGATTTGGTTATCACATCGGATATATGGGCACACATTTGAAGTATTAAACGTAGTCTAATAACAACAAATTATAGATTCCGCTTGAAAACTGCGAGACGAATTTATTAAGCCTAATTAATCTGTCACTAGCAAATGTTTACTGTAGCACCACATTATCAAATCATGGCACAATTAGGCTTAAAAGATCTGTCTCGCAATTCACACGTAAACCGTGTAATTGATTATTTTTTTTCTATATTTAATACTCCATACATCTCTACTACTTAAAAAATCCGTAGTGGTGGTCTTGATTCCTGACACAGCAGACGCATCTGACAGACACGCGCAATCTCAACCATCCGATTGCCATATCGAACGGCGTCGATCTCCTCCCCATCACGCGATCGCTCCTCTCCTCCTTCCCCCAAGCCGCGTCGTTCGCCCTCCTCTCTGCGCCGCCTCCTCGCCCCGCCCCCGCGTCGCCTCCTCCACGCCCGCCGGCCTCCTCACCAGACGCGCGATCGCCGCCGCCCTCTCCAATCTCCTCCGCGCCTCCACCTCGCATCGGATTGATCCTCCACCTTCGCCCTCCTCCCGGCGTCGCCTCCTCACCTCACCACCGCATCGCCTCCTCGGCAGCCACGGCCGCCGGCCGCCTCTCCAGACGCTCCCTCGCCGCCGCCCTCGCAAATCTCCTCCGCGCGCTCTCATCCCTCCCTTAACCATCACCGGCCGCTCTCATCTCTCACCAGGTCGTCCACCAGTCCGCGACGATCTCTCCCGCCGGCGTCACTAGCGACGCCTTCCTCGCCGATCTCCTCCGCGCCCTCGCCGCCCCCGATCTCCGCCTGATCGCCCGCCTCCACGCCTCCCCCAATCCGCGCCGTCATATCACCGTTGCCCGGAGTCTCATCTAGCCGTCCTCAATGGGCAAGCACGATGGATCAGCGTTTGGTTCTTTTTATGGGGTGTCATCCTGCATGTGCAGAAAAGTAAAGGTGAAACACATCAATCCTAACTGCATTTTCAGTGTTTAGCTCTCCTTCGTGGATTTAGTGTTCTGATAGATGGAAGTGTTGTTTCAGTTTTTAGCTCTGTATTTCGTGGGTTTAGGGTTCTAATGAGTGGAATTCCTCCCGTTGCCACAGAGCAAGCGGGCCTAGATGATGGAGAAGGAGAACCGGTTTGGACAGGATCAATCCAATTACAAATGGGCATGCAACTACTACTGTGACATCACAGGGAAGTGTATGCATCTGTTTAGGTTTTCTGATTACAATTTTGATTTTACAAATGTTTCAGTACTTTGACTCAATGTCCTGCAACCAATCTTGTATTCAATCCAATTTAATAATTTACCCAATTGAGTCTAGGATAGTTTAACAAATCAATCGGGAGTTCAACTATGAATTGTTTCGCTGTTTCAGGTCTTCAGACTTAACTGAAGTTTCAATGTCGCCGCCAGATCACCATTGTTTTCGGTGTTTCGGATCTGACTAATAATTTCTTTTGCTGATCAGACATGGATTGATGGCCTCCACATAAAAATGCATACAAGTCTAGGCTTTATGTGGAGGGCTCCATGGATACTAATAACTCCAATGCTAACATATCTTCTGAAGAATGAGGATGATGATTTTTTGAAAGGTAAGGTATATTTCTGTCTCCTTGGCTTTCCGAGATATGCTGTATGGCACAATGAAAAACATCTGATTCTTTCCGTCAATATTTAATTGACAAATATATGAATTTCCCCTATTTGTTGGACTAATATGTGTGGTACAATATTTACAACTGTTAGATAAATTCCCAGGTAACATATGAGTGTAGCTTTCATAAAGCTCACTTCAGATTGTTTATTTTCAAGATAGCTGAACGTCTGAACCTTCAACTAGACTCAAGTATGAGTCTGTAGTAGGTTTCAAATGTGAAGGTTTTACTAGACTAGGAAGATCTAATTCCTATTTTCCAGTATTCTGCTTTGATTGCTATCTGTCTTCCAATGCAACAGAAAAGTGCCTCAAGCCACAATGTGTTTTGTATATATATAGCTACAACTTTGATTTGAGACATCGGAGAGTCATCATAGTTTGCTCATTTACCACACTTTATAAATGTAAAATGTAAAAGAGTAAAGTGCACATGCGGTTCTTAAACTTGTAGGGGTGTTTTATCTAAGTCCCTAAACTCTAAAAATGCAGATCCAAATCCCAGAATTTGTCAAAGTGTCGCCTAGGTCTCATTTTGTCATAGCCCCTCTAAGATCCTATGTGGTGTTGACGTGGTATGCCACAAGCACAGACGTGACATGGCATCATCTTAACTGACAAATGGGACCGACTTAAAATTCATTTTCCTTTTTTCTTCTTTTCTTCTCATTTTTCTCTCTCTTTTTTCTTTTTTTCTCCTTTCTCTGTGACCCGAGCACCCTGTGCAGCGGTGGCCTACAATTGTAGATAGAGAAAGGAGTATAAAGGGAAAAAAAGAGAAGAATGAGAATGAGAAGAAGGAAAAGAAAAAGAAAAAGGAAAAGGAAAATTTTTAAGTGAGTCCCATTTATCATTTAATATTATGTCACGTCACGTCCGCGTGGCATATGCCACATCAGCACTATCTTCAAGTAAGAAATGGACAATATTCTTTTTTTTTGTCTAAATACAAATAATAACTAGAGTGACAATATACATTTTGGTTGTTTTGCAGCCTTGTCCAGATAATCAGGACCACATGAAGCGAAATGGATGGTTTAAGTCGAGCTAACTTTAGATATTTATTATTTTGTGTATTTGATAGGAGTAACACATGTACTTTATAGCAAAGCTTGTTCCTATATGATGTTGTGGATACATGTTGATTGATATTTTTCTAATAGCTCTTTATCGTTTTTTTTAGCTTAGCTATATGTTTTATGTACCATTGTCAAAGCATCTTTGTATCACTGTTATTTGGTTGTTTCATTTACAATATTAATTGTCACCGTAGCGTTAGCACGGACACACTACTAGTATATCCAAACATTCGATTTAATGGGTGAAAATTGTATAACATGCCGGAGTTCCGTGCATCTTGTGAGGATTCAGAACTTCAAGCTAGCTCAAGTTCAAAATACAAACAGAGAGAGAATTTCACGCTAGCTTTGCGGCTGTACCAGAACCTGAACAAGTTGCCTGTGGATAAACTCGGCCTTTTTTTTTCTCTCTGCATGCAAGAGCAATATTGCAGTGGGCATGTACAGGTAGTGCCGTTACTCTCTCCGTCCTAAAAAGACAATCTAAAAATTGGATGAGACGTTTTCTAGTACAATAATATACAGATTCGTTGCACTAGAAAATATCCCATCCAATACTAGATTGATTTTTTATGGGAGGGAGGGACTTAGGAATATGTAGGAGTATGTGAAAGGGATTGCTAACTACTCCCTCCGTCAAAAAAAAAAAGGCAAACCCTAGTTTCCGTATCCAACGTTTGACCGTTCGTCTTATTTAAAAAAATTATAAAAAAAATTAAAAAGATAAGTCACGCATAAAGCATAAAATATTAATCATGTTTTATTATCTAATAACAATGAAAATACTAATTATAAAAAAATTTCATATAATACGGACAGTCAAACGTTGGCACGTTGGCACAGTAATCTAGGGTTTGCCTTTATTTAGAACTGAGGGAGTACACGCAACCTGCCAGATAACGCAGCAAAAATGATATTTTTCGTGCCCGTTTAACACGAGCATCTACTAACAGAAGTACAAGATCATCCATCGCTATCATCAATTCTGCATACTACCTACTCCCTCGGTTCAAAAAAAACCAAAGCGTTTGCCATGAATCTAGAAAAAACTATATCCAGAATTATAGCCTATATGGAAGGTGTATACCCTTAAGCAAAAATTAAATTAACCAATTTTCTAAAAAAAATCAGAGGGAATTGTGACATTCAATATACCATTGAATATAATAGCAGTCACATTATGATAGAATCCTCACACATCTAGTCTCACCACTCTGCAGTGACATAATTGCTCCCGTCCACGCAAGTCCAAAAATGATGGGTTTCTACTTTCTACTCCTTCCGTCCCATAATATAAGGGATTTTGAGTTTTTCTTGCACTGTTTGACCACTCGTCTTATTTAAAAAATTTATGCAAATATAAAAAAACGAAAATTTATGCTTAAAGTACTTTGGATAATAAAGCAAGTCAAAAAAAATAAATAATAATTCCAAAGTTTGTTGAATAAGACGAGTGATAAAGAGTGCAAATAAAAACTCAAAATCATTTATTTTATGGGACGGAGGGAGCAGTAGATAACGCAAGTTCCTAACTTCTTATACATGGTGACGCTATATGCTGTCGCTTGTGCTCAGCAATCCATCACTCTTTCTTTTGCAGAATTGCAGGTCAAGCTTCGTTCAGATGGCGGTTGCCGGGGCAGTGGCGATGTCCGGCGGTATTCTCCTCCTCCTCCTCCTCCTCCTCCTCCTCCTAGCTGCCGCCTGCGTCGAAGCCGGCGAGCTGCCGCCGATTAGCCGGAGAAGCTTCCCCAAGGGGTTCATCTTCGGGACGTCCTCCGCGTCCTATCAGGTTAGGCTTCCCTTCCGCATCATTCTTCCTACAAGAGATCAAGAACAATTTGATAAGACTGCCGCCTTAACTGAATTCTTGCAAGAACATCGGTTGGAACAGACTGTTCTTTTCAAAAGGAAGAAAGAAAAAAAGCTGGAACAGACTATACACAAGTAACACATGAAAAAAAAGGAGCAGCTTAAGATGAACTGTGCAAATAATGCTCAAATTACTCCGAAAATGGTTCTCGAATTTGCATGTGGCTAGAAATTCAAGGCGAAATCTAAACATCTAGAAAAACCTCCGCGTCGCTCTCGCACGGGCGGCTCGGGGGCGAAAACCCTAGCTGCCCGCGCCGCCACTCCGCCTCCTCCACCTCGCCGCCCCCGGAGCTCGCCGGCGGGAAAGCTGCCAGCGAGCAGGGAAGGCGGCGGCGAGGCACATCAACTCGACGGCCTCCACCTCGGCGCGACGAGGACAGGGGAACGACGAAGCTCTCCGCCGCGGTCAGAGGCGGAGACGGTGGGGCTGCTTGGAGAGGCGGTGGATCCGGCTTCTTTGAGGCCGGATTTGGCCCTCCGACGCCTGGATCTGGCCGGAGCAGCTGCTCCGGCGTGGCGGCGCGAGGCAGCTGGCCGGCCTGGGCATGTTGGCGGCGTGAGGTGGCTCGGCGGCGTGCGGCCTGCCTGGGCGTGAATACGGCGCGAGCTGCGGCGGCGGCTCGGCAGCGGCTCGGCAGTTGGGAACGGCGGCGGCGTAGCCTGCCCGGGCGCGGAGACGGTGCGAGCGGCGGCGGCTCGGCGGCTAGGAACGGCGGCGGCGTGGCCGGCCCGGAGCTACGGGCTGGGAGCGGGCGGCAGCATGGCGCTGGTGCGGCTGCCCGGGCGCAGCGGCGGCGTGCCGCGGCTCGGCTGTGCGGCCGCGAGCAGCCCCATGGCGCGGCCAGTCCTCGGCTGCCGGGGTGCCGCCGCGATGCCCTGCGGCCGGGTGGGTGGCGTGGCGTGGCCAGGTGGGGCGCGGCGGCCGGGCAACAGGGGCGCCGGAGCCGGAGGGGTAGTAGCTTCACCGGCGTCGGCGTAGGCCTAGAAGGCAGTGCAAAGGGAGCTGGCAGTGGTGGATCGTCTTCCTCGTTACCGGTCGGCACCCTCGCCCTTTCTGGAGCTCCTCCCCTTCTTTGCGGGGAGTTTCTGGGTTGGATTGAGGCGGCAGCTTGTCAGCGGGGGAAGCTTAGGTTGCCGAAACTATGGCACCCAGTCCCGGGTTCTCCTTCTGCCAGATCTAGCAAGGAGGCTGGCGGGTGGTGGAACAGAGGGGTCCTGGGCCAGCTCTCAGGGATGGTGGTTCGTTGGCGGAAGCCATGTGCCACCGATGTTTAGATGGTGGATTCGGATTGGGCAACGGACCACAGCGGTAGGGGGTTTCCGAGCGAAAGCTTAGCCCAATTCTTTGGGCCAACAGTGACTACGTCTTCGGGCGTGGTAACCCTCCTGAGGGCATTGTTGAGGTATCCCTCCTAAGGAGCTCTGGGTGAAAACATTGTCCAGTTCTTTGGACGGATGATGACGGCGTCTTTCGGCGTCGTGACCCTCGTGAGGGCTTCGTTTTAGAGTCTTCGTGTCGTCGTGGTGTTGTTGGTCCAGTGGCGATCGGTCTCACATAGCGATGGCCGGTTCGGTGCTTGGCTTCCCTCACTGTAGCGTGTGTTTGGGCGGTTGGCACATGGTTCAGGGCGTGTACTCTGGTGCACATCCTTCCTCAACAGCCAGCCGTCGATGTAAAACTTTTCTTGTAACCTTTTCTTCTTATCTTAATTATATTGAATGACCTCCTTCGGTCATTCCAGCAAAAAAAAATCTAAACATCCAATAAGCATTCAGTGGTCAATTAACTGTTTCGGGTCTGAAACCTGAAGAATCGGCCGTTGCTTCACACATGCAGTGCGAGGGTGGAGCAGCAGAGGGGGGCAGAGGACCAAGCATCTGGGACACCTTCACATATCAGCATCCAGGCATGTTTAACTGTAAATGACAAGAATGAAAAAGCAATAAGGCATTATTTTGAATTGACCATTATCTAATATGGCAGATAAAATCGCTGACAAAAGCAACGGGGATGTGGCTGACAACACCTACCATCTCTACAAGGTATTAGCAATTACCATTTTTAAGTAGCCGTCCTGGGCATTTTTTAACAGGCATTTTGTAAGGACTTTCAATAAATATGCACTCCATGTTTCTGTTAGTTTCTTTGTTTCTATCAGATAAAAGATATACCACATGTCAGTCTGCCTATGGCGCGATCGCTTCAGAGATCAATTCTAAGTTTCATTGGAAGGACTAGTTCAGTACTCACATCCTGAAAAATTGCAGGAAGATGTGCACATGATGAAGGAGATGGGAATGGATGCATACAGGTTTTCCATCTCATGGTCAAGAATTCTTCCAAGTGCGTGATACACCTAATATATACTATAATGCACTGTCACGCATAACAAATATATAGCTTATCTGAAGATGTTCTCATTTTTCTTCGAAGTACAATATTTTGCATATCTTTTTCAATCTCCAAGGTGATCCCACAAGGAATTAAAATCTCACTGTCATGGCAGATGGAAGTCTGAATGGTGGAGTCAACATAGAAGGCATCAACTACTACAACAATTTGATCAATGAGCTATTATTGAAAGGCATTCATGTCTAATCTTCACTGTTTAGTTTCAAGTTCAGTGGCTAGATGCAACTTGTGGAAACCATTAGCTCCATCCCTTGGTATGCCAGATTTCCTTTTCCAAAATGCAAAATAATCTTAATACATTTGCAGGGGTCCAATCATTTGTTACCCTTTTCCATTATGACACACCTCAGGCACTGGAAGATAAATACAACGGATTTCTTAGCCCTAATATCATGTAAGTCAACAATTCTTCAGTACCATTTGCTACTTAATTATATTACAAGTTAAATCTGGAAAAGTTAAATTGGGGTCTGACCTGGTTAGTAAACACAACCCAGTAAGATAGGAGAGTGTCTACAGCTGAATAATGTTTTCCATAAATACTAGGGACCATGTTATATACTTCAGAAAAATATTGTCCACGTCATCATGCATATCAATTAAAATACCCAATATTTCAATGCCAAAAGCCTTTGGAGTTCCCTTCCCCATTTTCTTGTGAATATTGTTTACTGTGATTTGTTGAAGGACAAGATTTAACCCTTGTTGCATCGACACCATCCACATTAGTGTTCCCTTCATATAGTATTTTCAGCTAAAACATCCTAGTGTTATTTGCCATGAAAAAAGTGCTAAAGTTACTGACTGTGAAGAACTATTGCAGAAATGACTATAAGGACTATGCTGAAATCTGCTTCAAAGAGTTTGGTGACCGAGTGAAACATTGGATCACCTTCAATGAGCCTTGGATCTTCTGCTCTAAGGCCTATGCATCTGGCACCTATGCCCCGGGCCGGTGTTCACCCTGGGAGATGGGAAAATGCAGCGTTGGAGATTCAGGAAGGGAGCCTTACACTGCATGCCATCACCAACTACTTGCCCACGCAGAAACTGTTCGGTTGTACAGAGAGAAATATCAGTTCACTGAAGAAGTTGTCAGGCAGTCGCAGTTCATCCATGATAATGATTTACATCGAAGATCCGCAAAGTTAAGTTTCATAATCCAAAATTACTTATTGCTTGGCATTCACTTTCAGCCAGGTCCTGGTGGTAGAGTTTGCCAGTACAGACATTAACCTTTACTAGTAGTAGTTGATAAGGAAAAAAAGGAAAGAAATTCTAGAATTCACAAAAAAAACAATAAAAATTGGCACTTAATCCCAATGTGTTATGTGCCCTAGTTAGAGAGGTCAAAATAGGTCAGAGAAAATATTTATGTATTATACAAGACCTTCTCACATAAAAACAAAACATCATGCCTTAATCTCGGTCCTCCTAATACAAAGGTCTGGATCTGTTGGTTAGGTTAAAGATATACTCCTATTATTTTATTATTTTCATGCTAAATTCAATGAAAGACTTTAGAGTTGATAAGAAAAGCAATAAATTCATAAAAAGCAAAACATCTCCCATTAAGTTATCTTCAAATTCAAACACATATCAGTATCCAACATCACAAATGTTTCTGATAGCTAGCTCACAATTTCTGCGGGTAACTTGACTAGCTAATTACTTTATTAACTGCAGCGCTAATTTATATCCTGCATATTATGAAATGGAGACATGCATATTCTAGTCCAGTGATATATTCAAAGCTTCTGCAATTTACTGCTACATGATAATACGTTCAAGGCCTTATAATTTGAACATGATTGTTATACATTTGTTGTTAATATTATTTTTAGGGAACACAAAACCTTTGACCATGCATGCAGATTGAATGCTTAGTAGAATCAATTCTGTTTTTCAAATCAAAAGGAACAACAAAATGCTTGACAAATGCAGGCCTTACAAAAGGGGAAGATTGGAATAATTGTGAACTCACAGTGGTATGTTCCCTTCTCCCCATCCAAAACCAACAAGGATGCAGCAAGACGTGTTCTAGATTTCGTGCTTGGATGGTAAATTCTTTGTCACACATAATTTCTTCATTAGGAGACTGAAAATTCTAACTATGAAATCCTTTCTAGGCTTATGGATCCTCTCATTAGAGGGGACTACCCCCTAAACATGAGAGAATTGGTTGGAAATCGCTTGCCAAAGTTCACCAAAGAGCAATCTGAAATGGTCAAGGGTGCATTTGATTTCATTGGACTTAATTACTACTCTTCAAGCTATGCTGAGAATGTTCTTCCATCGTATGGTCTTAAGAACAGCTACAATACTGATTTCCACGCTAGGATTACCGGTGAGTCAACATATTCTGGGATCAGTCAACTTCTTTTGTGCGTTTGAACCATGAAATATAAACATATGGCAATTTTTTTGGAATTTTGGATACATGCATTTTGTAGCTTTTTTTTTTGCTACTAGGTGCTAACCTTGCCCAATTATGCTAGGTAGTCGAAACGGTACTCTCATTGGTCCTCAGGTGACCTACAGCTTTGTTACCCACAAAACAAATTATTAGTAAAAGTGCAAAACAATGATCAGGTGACATGATTGAACTCTATAAACAATATGTGTGTAGGCTGCTTCATCTTGGCTTCATATATACCCTCAAGGGCTCCGTGAATTGTTGCTTTATATCAAGGAAAACTACGGCAATCCTACCATCTTTATTACTGAAAATGGTAAGTTCCCACAAACATATAGGTCATACAATTTCTCCGCATTTGTTCAAACCAACACTACTATAACACCTTCTGATTCTTCTTTCTATTTTCCTATTTTCTCCCCAATCTAGCCAGTAAGTGCACATAGGACTTGAATATTTTTTCTTCTCCTATCTATGTGAGAGAGAGAGAGAGAGTTCTCCTCTAGCTTCTAACTAAAAGTGTATGAATCTTACTGATCCTTTGTACTCGTACATCTCAAGGTGTTGATGAAGTCAATAACAAGACCATGCCACTCAAGGAGGCCCTGAATGATAATACGAGGATAGAATATTATCACAAGCACCTTCTCGCCCTGCGAAATGCTATGAGGTCAGAACATCAATTCAGACACTCAGCTATCAGTAGACAACTTAAAGATGGTACTAACACTGCATTATTCCATATGCCTCCACAGGGATGGAGCAAACGTGAAGGGGTACTTTGCATGGTCTCTGCTTGACAACTTTGAGTGGGCGGATGGCTACACACTCCGGTTTGGGCTAAACTTTGTGGATTACGATGATGGGATGAAGAGACACCCCAAGAATTCAGCCCATTGGTTCAAGAAGTTCCTCCGAGAAATGAAACAGGGATGAAAAGAGTCGCACGCATTGCCTTCTTTTTTTTCATTGAACATCGAAATTGAGTGTCACAGATGAAATGAGTTTGAGATGTGCTTCTTTGTTTAGGCTATACAAGAGTAAACTTCACAAAACTACACGTTTTGTTGTCCAAGTTACAATAAAACCACACAAATTATTAGAAGCAACAGATGACAAGTGATTCACATTTTCTCTAAGAAAAAGAAAAAGGGAATTACGCCAGAAATGCACACGGGGTACTGGATGGAGGCTCACCTCACCTGGAACGAGGAGAGGGGGGATTGAGTTGACTGTGTTGTGGCTGATGAAGGGGACGACGAGAGTAGGGACTAGCAAAGGCTTGGAATCTCGCGCTGCCTCGTCATTTCAATCGTCTCCCATTGGGCCATCGCTGCTGGAGCTGGTGCTGCCGCCTTCCTCCGATTGGGGGTTGTAACTTGTAAGGATGCAGAGCTGACCGATCAAGCGGATCCACGCTGCCCGCCCGAGCAGACCGAAGTTTGGTCGGGTGGAATGTAGTAGCCATCTGTGGCCGGAGCGTGGGGACGGAGAGGATGGCGAGAGGGCGGCGCTAGCCATGGCGCGCGGCGGCGACGGCGGCTGGATCGTGGAGGACTGGAGGGCGGAGGCTCGAGAGAGCTGGCCTTTTCCTCGTCTGGTGTAATGGGCTCAATCGGACGAATCTTCGATCCTGAAAACCGGCCCACCTCAAAAGCTTTTGTAAGCCCAACAAGGGGTGTGGAATAAGTTCACTTTGAGTCCCTTAACTATAGCTCAAATTTGATTCATACCCTTATCCGCAATACCGGATATGTTGACCACCCCTCAAAAAAAAACTTTTAAAAGTGGTGTAATTTGACTCCCTGAAACGGTTTTAGAGGACGATTTCGCTAACGTGGTGCGTTGACTTGGTCCAACCTACTAAGTCATCATGTGAAACCCACCCATAAAGTGACTTCTCTTCTTTTCCTCCCCCCTCTCCACCCACCCATCAAATCAGTGCCACCCCCTCATCCCCCTTCTGCTCCATGTCGGGCCACCGTCGGGGACGAGGAAGCGTGGACGAGGCCATCGTCGCGCCACCGGTGAGCCTATTGCCCTCCTCTCGGATCCACCGGTGCCCCAGGAAGTGGAGGCAACTGCGAGACGTTGGCCCGTTATATTATTATTATTATTATTACTTGATCAGATGATTGCATTTGGAATAGTAAAGAACATCTCATTATATTATTATTTTTTTACTTGATCAGATGATTGCATTTGGAATAGTAAAGAACATCTCGTTATATTATTATTTTTTTAGAGAAAAATATCTTTTACCCGGTCTCTACATCTAACTAGATATATATGTAGCCTTCATCCAACCAGATATATGAGCCTTTTAAAATTAGGAACTTAGCCTATCAAACATGAAACTTAGCCCTCAAATAGCTCAATCTGAAATTGACTTCTATGGAGATTTTAACTCGGGACCTTGGGATGCTACTCAAATCACTGCAACCGTTAGGCTACGTGCCTTTTCACAATAGTATATCGGATGACTAAACTGAATTGGCTGATGCGATGCGCCGAACTTTCTAACTAACCTGGCCTCTATATAGATATTTTACCTGGATCGAAGTGATTAATGAAATCTTCCAGATTCAAAAAACAACAGGAGTTTGATTTCTTGATGATATAATGGGAGTCAATCACAAGGCTCCGCATTCGTTGAAAAGAAAAATCAGAGAGAGAGAGAGAGAGATTTTCGTCGATAAATCAAGTGACTTGAACTAAGCTAGCCCAGGAGTAAGAAGACATCGGATAAACCATAACACGGCAGCATAATTCTGATATATTCCGAACCAAACATTGCCTAGGATAAACCGACCGAATATGTGTCACGATCCTGCCCGACACTACCAACAACACCGTGCAACATTAGAGCAATAATCCGGCTAATCCCTAGTAGGATACGCGGGTGGGTTACATGCCAAAATCCCGAGCATCCGATCCGCATCCCGGCGGCATATCTCTCCTCGCCGTCCGACGGCTACGTCCCCTGCCTCGCTTCCAGGCAGATCGAGCACACGCACGTACGTACGCAGCTAGTACGTACGTACGTCCATCGATATCATCCTGATCGTGTCTCACTCACACGCGCGCAGATTGAAGCGGTTCGTGATACCCTAAGGCGCCGGTTTTAATTTGCCCGGTCTAAGATGCGAGCCCGATGCTCGTAATATGCCGTGATTAGTGATAGTTTTGGGGGTAGAAATGGATTCTTCGGTTTGGACACTGCCAATCGATCGAGCACGGTGACGGTTCTATCTTTTTTTTTTTGGCTCGTCTGTTTGCTTTGCAAAGGTTATCTTATCTCTCGATCGGTGTCAGCTAATGGTACGTAGGACAATTGTTCATGGGGAGGAAGCAAGATAGTGTTTTTTTTTTTTGTGTGTGTGTGTACACATGTCTGTCAAAGCAAGAATGGGAAATATATTAATGGAGAATGATTACATGGTGCGTTACGGGCATGTTCATATAACATGGTAGGAGTATAGAAGTAAGAAGATGCATGATGCTCCGTTCAAAAAAAAGAAGATGCACATGTACATCGAGACTATCAACTAAATTAATTTATTTTATTTTTTATGTTTGTGTCTTTGTAGCTAGAGAGGTCTAGTACGCGAGCAAAGATCCTGTCTTTTGTTCTTTGTTCAGGCCATGCATCATCATTTTGTCGCTACGTCCACATTCAGTAGTGTGTGGTAGGACGTACGTACATATACGAGACTACGACTACGTCGTCGATCTAACACTAGAATAATATAATCGTCACGATGGTTACTAATTGGTTAATTAACTGCTTCGGCTGTACTTCTGATGCTACGATGTCACTTTAATTTACTACCTTACTTTACCGACTCATTATGCATTCTTCGTAGGTGACGTTTCATATTATTTTTACTTATTTTCTATTTTTATCTGTCTTTGGCCAATAATAAGATGCCTAAAGCAAAGTACCCATCTTGTTTAATTTCCTTTGTTTAATACTGGAAATTAATAAGCAACTGTAGCTCTCTTTTTTAATCTTAAGCAACATAGAGTTTTTTTTAAGACTCAAGTTATTAATATTTATTAAGGATAGAGTTCATGGGAAATAATTTCAGTGCAGTGCATCGTCCGGGTAGAAAATCTTATAGCAAAGGACCATCCTTACATAAGGTAAGGGAAAATGAACTGCGAGAACAACCTTGCAAATGAAACCATACATCAGTTACTGCTGCGACAATAAGTTCTCAGTTTTCTAGCTGAGAACTAACATAACTAGTTTGCAAGCGGTGCCATAATATAATAACATAAGACATGCTTTGAATTATTGATCGTTGCTCATATTTGAAAAACCTGGGCTTTGTTTGATTAGAATTCCATCAAACTTGCCAAATTATACCTTTGTTTAGACTGTTGGATATCCACTCCCATCTTCTTCATTTTTTTTTCATTTTTTATCACCATCCTACAATTAATTAGGTGGTGAGGTTGATGGAGATGAAGATAAAGTTATGTCACATAATATAAAAAAAAGTTTGATTAATTGATTTTTAATTATTATAGACTTGAAAGTGAGTTTATCTGATGTTCTAAAGCAACTTCTATATAAAAAGTTTTTACATGAAATATACCGTTTAATTGTTTGAAAAACGTGCTAACGGAAATCGAGAAAAATATATATCTTTAATTAGAAAATAACACCACCTAAGAAAGAACAGGATGTAGAAGAAGATGAAAAACTACGGAGGAAACTTCAAATCGGACGCTCGATTTTGTAAAAAAAATCGGATGGAAAATGTTTCAGTTGATCACCGGTGAAACATTAAGTTATACATGGTGAAAAAAATCAGCTAATGAAACATTTAAAAATTATGTGAAACACAACAAAGATACACGTTGAAACATAATGCTATCGCATATAAAACATTGAGTGTTATCGGACGGAAACATATGTTTTGTCTTATCAGAATATAATCATGTGATATCCTATTATAAAGATTTAGTTATAATTAACACAACGGTATGATCAGATAAATAATTTATGAGAAATATCATTTCGAAGATGTCTAAATGCATGCATGGATGAAGCGAAGAGATGATAGAAGCAGGTAATTGTATGAATTTTGTGAAACACAGTAAAGACACGCATTGAAACATTGAGTTTTAATGATTTCAAACACATGTTTTTTTCTTTCAGCATGATATAAATATGTGTTAACTTGTTGTAAATGTTTAATTACAGGAGAAAAAAATTTAAAGTAAGGAGAAAGGAAGAAGAAAAAAAACTAATCAGATGCAATCTTGCTTGCATGCGAGTGTCAGCAAATGGTTTTTCTTCTCTCATTGGGCGACCAAGCCTAAGATCTTCCAAAAGTATAAAAAATAAGTACTCCCTCCATCATAAATTATAGGGCGTCATATTTTTAAGTAAAATCAAACTCAGTAACTTTTAACTAATAATTTTACTAATCATATATATGCTAAATATTATACATATTATATCACTAGATTCATATTTTAAAATATTTTATGTGATGCTAATTTTATATTTGTTGGGAATATAGCATATAATAAATTAATGATTAAAGTATATTATTGAAGATCGTTTCTACTCTCACTTTCATCTCCAATATTGATTTCACCCCTACTTTTTAGAGTTTTTGTTTTTGCCCTCACTTTTTTTAACCAAACAAACTTTTTGCCCATGTTTTAGATGGAGAAGTTAACGGTGTTAACTACTACGTAAAAGGACATTTTTACCCTCTACCATCTCTTTCCTTTCTTCTTCTTTCCTGCTACGGAAAAGGGTTTTTCCGTGCGGTCAAAAAAAATTTCGCGTGCAGATGAATGATTTTTGCATGCAGGTGACGCCCCCGCACGTGAAAATTGGATTTTTTTTCCATGCTTATATCGCCCACACGGAAAAATAAAAAACCGAAAAAAATAAAATTCACAAATTACCCAAACCCTAACCCTAGATCTGCTGCTCCCCGCCGCCGGATCCAGGCGGGGGACTGTCGCCGCCGCCAGATCCGGGCGAAGGGCAGCCGCCACCGCCGGATCCTTGCGTGGGGAGGGCGGCGCCGCTCCTGGCCGCCGCCGCCGACGTCGGCGGCGGCCGCATGATGTGGGGAGGGTGGCGCTGTTCCCGGCCGCCTCCTCGTCGTCGTCGTCGGCGGCGGCGCCGCTCACGGCTGCTGCCTCCTCCTCCTCGATGTCGGTGGTGGCCACCGCGCTACCTCCGCCAGCAGCCGCGACGGGCGCCTCCTCGTCGGCGCACGGTGACGGCGCCGCTCCCGGCAGCCGTCTCCTCATTGGCATCGTCATCGACGGCGGCCACCGCGATGCCTCCGGCAGCAGCCGCACCAGCCTCTTGCGCCTCGGTCGCCAGCAGCCCGGCCGCCGCCTCATCGGCAGCGGCGGCGGCGAGCGGGCGCCTCCCGCCTACGCGCTTAGAGAAAGCAAAGGAGAGGAGAGTTGAAAGGCAAAGAGAGAGAGAAGTGTTTCGCTCAGAGAGAGAGAGGAGTGAATATTAAAAGGAGAAAGGTAGAGAGAGTAGGTGAAAATTTTGAAGTGTATGGGAGGGAATAGCATTTTGAAAGGTGTGTTTCAGTTAAGACGTTCGCCTGCGGAAATAAACTCATTTTTACGTGCGGTTCACTAAAGAGGACCGCGATTTTTCCGTACGGTCCTCTTAAATGGACCGCATGGGAAAATGAGCCGATTTTTCCGTGCGGACCGAGTTACCGTCCGC